ACTGTAGGATAGAGATATAACTGGAACATCTTGTGTGACACATGAAGTAGGTACAGATATTGAGCAACCTTTTTTTCACTAGATATAGAACCCACAGAATTATTGCCTTCCAATCAAATACTGCCAAGACTTAGATGCTTACGTTCAACTCATTTAGAAACCATCTTTTCAAACTATCAGGTGCAAGGATGTGACGCAGCATCTAGCAAAGTTCTTTGAATTATTTTCTTTTAAGACTGCCAACACCAAGGATATATGTGACTCCTATTAGCTAGGTGCTGAAAAGTAAGCTGCATTTTGAGATACAGTTGACAAGGCAACTCCATGAACTCCATTGATTTTCAGTTGATTCAGCTGTCTTGGTTAAAAGGTCTGTATTTCTAAATTAAAGTAAACATCACACATTCTTCTTATCCCACCAAAATCCATCAGTAAAACCTTCCATGATTTTCTGTAGATATACAAATGATCCCAGAACAATTCCCACAAAGTCATCTAGCAGAGATGTGACCAGACTTAGTCAACATAAAACCTGAGAATGGAAATGAGTTTGCAACTGGTTTGAATAGCCACTCATCATTGGAGAAACTTATATTTGAAATCCAAAGAAACATTATTTGTGGGAAGAAATGACCACATGCATGTTTGTCACAACTTTTGTGATCCAACTGTGCTTCCATGGTCCCATGAAAAGAATCTCAGAATTCTACAAAGCTCATAGAATCATAGAACGGCCTGGGTTGAAAAGGACCACAATGATCATCTAGTATGCTGTGTGCAGGGTCGCCAGCCACCAGACCAGGCTGCCCAGAGCCACATCCAGCCTGGACTTGAATGTCTTCAGGGATGGGGCATCCACAACCTCCTTGGGAAACCTGTTACAGTGCATCACCACCCTCCGTCCCTGGAAGTGTTCAAGAAATAGGTAGATGTTGTACTGAGGGACACGGTTTAGAGGGAAAAATTGGTGGTGTGCAGATATTTGGACTGGATGATCTTGGAGGTCTTTTCTAACCTTGTTGATTCTATGATTCTATTCTAGGATTAGTTTGGGTTTCAGACTTACTTGTTCCAATAATACAGAAATATTATTGCTTTGTAAGTCTGAGTGACTGACCACAGGACAGAAGCTCAATCGATGGGTCACAGAGGAGGGGCTGTCAGTCTGACTGCTTCTCAGGGGCAAACGCAGGTACCCACACTGGAGCCTTGTAGGCAAAAAATATTCTCAATTATTTAGTGATGGGCAAGCCAACTACGAGGGTGGGATTTTCCTTCTTCTATCAGAAAATTCATTCAGTTCTGCCCTAGTAAATATTTTGCTTAATTAATGTAATCTGTCTTGATAATTTCCAAAACTTTGAGATGGTCTTTACAGACCAAAGGAAAAACAAAAACAGTCAATATATAAAATCGCTAGAAAAGAACAGAACAGAGGACCAGAACAGGTGCTCCTCATGAACACAAAAAACCTGCTTCTGAATGGAAAAAGCTTTCATTTTGTGATGCTTTTCTTCCTTCACTGTCTCGAGAAGATTGATGTGATTGCAGCCCACTTACAGCTCCTGTCTCTCCACTAGAAGCCAAAGTCTTGAGTGAAAAACTGCAGTTTGTGCATCTCAGAAGAAAGAAATTATGTAGAGAGTTGCACCTTCCTCAGAGTTTGAACACTAGAAACACAGGAACAACTGCAGCAATAATGAAGAGTTCACGTGTCTTAGGGCTGCACCAGCCGTCAGTTGCTTCCTCAAATTGGAAAATGAAGAAACAACAGCCAGGATTACCTGGCTATTCCTTTTTGGGTTTGTTTCTCAGTATTTACAAGGGCTGCTCTGAAAGCAATGCCTGTTTTATTATGTTGGCCCAATACATCAGAGGCAGATGTTGGCAGTGTAGCAGTAGAGGTTGAACCTTCCCACCAAGGGGAATGCAACCCATTCCATGTTGTTGCTGTGTGACAGATGGCAGCAGAAGCAGACGGGCACTCTGACAGAATGGCATCTGACATGGAAGTTGCATACGAAGCAAAGAGGTGGCCCTGAATTCCTCCATGAGGAAAAATTGGCACCCACTGACAGTCATTGACACTTTGTGTTTATGGTGTTCAGACAGTGGGTGTGAGCACAGTAAGGCACTCAGTAGTGCACTTCAGCAGCGATGACAGCAGGTCACCTCCACTGGTGCTGATTTTTATGAGCACAGGATGCAGGCTCTTGTTCATTGTTGGTGAAAATGCATAGCTAATAGTGGTGGCTATGTTAAAAAATAGTGTTTTGTAGCTGAGAACGTGCTCTATTAAGCAATATTATTACGCTTTTTGGACCTGTTGTAGTTTGCATGGACATAAACAAAAGGCATTACTTTTGGAGCAACCTCTGTAGTTATGCTTCAGATCCTTAGGACTGAAAATCAACCATCAATCCCTCAGAGCATTTTAATCTCAGGCCACAGGTGATAATTACATTTTTCAAAGCTGGGTAAGATTTTCTGCGATGTTTACAGTCAAAAGCTTGTGGAGAAAAAAAAGGGAACTAATGGTCCTTAATTAAGATAGAAATACATTCACTGTTCTCCACCATCTCAACCTTGAGTGTTGTGGAATTGGATCCAGGCATACAGCTGGACGCAGTACACGTACAGATCTGTATCACAGAATGATGACTGTGCAAGCAGCGTTCTGCTTTCAAGAAAGTTGGAGGAGATGGATGCTTCCCCCCTCTTTTCACTTCAGTGCCTCTGAAGGTGATGCGAATTTTCTGCTTGCCAGAATACCATCAGTTTGAGAAGTTAGCTTGCTTTGATAAACACTTAAGGAGCACTGAGGGCAGAATAGAACAGGTGCACAAGGAATATGCCTGAAGGACTTTGAAAGCAAGCCAATGTAAAACTCACACGTATCTGAAGCATGGTCTCAGCCACCACCAAAGACAAACAATCATCCTTAGCCTTCTGGATCTAAAGAATCATGGAGCTGGTTTTTTTGTTTGTTTGTTTCTGTCAATCATATAAACAAAAGAAGTAAAATATATTTTTCATTAAAGGCCAGGCTATCTTCAGAAAGACCAAAGCCAGGCAAAATGACTCCATCACAATCTGCGTCCTATATAAAATAAAGGGTGTGCAGTAGAACACCTCAACAAAAGCACTAAAGAAATCTGTAAAGCCCCTAGGTAGTTTGTAAACAGCTGCATGCACTAAGGTAAGAAATATTTACATCCTTAGCCAAAGGCAGGTCATTTCTTACAGCTACGTCCCAGCAAGGGATGGTAAGAAAAGTGCTGGCCTGGCTCCATGATTTTTTGCCATTTGAACGAGGGAAATGAGGGGGCAGGAGGAGTGATTAGACTAAGGGGGGGGAAGTACACGTTCACTAGAAATGTCACAATCCCAGAATGGTTGAGTTTGGAAGCAAACCGTAGAGGTCACATTGCCTAACCCTCTGCTGAGGCAGGGCTGCCAGAGCAGTGTACCCAGAGCCAAATCAAACATAAATTGCAGCAAAAGGTGACAGGTAATATTGGTAAAGATAACCAGGAATATTTTAATTAAAACAATATGGATTAAGATCAGCAGCAGATAGAGCATCAGTTTGTCTTTCCCTTCATCTCCATGTGAGAACTCCTTTAGGTAGAGTACTGCACAATCACAGAAGCCCAGGGTTGGAAGGGACTTTAAGAGACCATCGAGTCCAACTCTCCCGCTAAAGCAGGCATCCTACAATAGGTCACACAGGTAGATGTCCAGATGGGTCTTGAATATCTCCAGAGAAGGAGACTCCAGAAGCTCTCCAGGCAACCTATGATTATTCCCTGATTAAAATTTTAAGCAAAACTAGGCCTTTTGTTATAAAGTCACTGTAAAGCAAGACACAAAAGATAAAAGAAGGTAACATTCCTACATGAAAAGAGAAGCTGAAGTGACAGAATGTGCAAGATAGAATTAGAACGCTATAACCCTTGACAGCGTTAGTCAGCAGAACAGGAGAAATGGCATCGTGCTACAAACTTGCTGCATACATTCAGATGTTGCTGAAGAAAAATGTGAACATCAGTTGAGTTACACACGCTGCCCATGTTCACCAGACAAGGCGGCTTTTATTAAATACTGCATGTTTACAGTCTACTTCTTCATTCTGAGCTGTACCACTGAAGTGTAGTCTGAAGAAATCAGTACTACTGTACCACAAAGAATGGGTTAGAATCTGCTTTCTTCATATTCCATACTTTTGCAGCCTCCAGGAAAACCTGGCCATTTAACCTCAGTATTTGAAGTTTTACTTACTTAGTAATTCATTCTTAAATCTTTCTATACACCTTTGTATTTATGGTGTGTAATCATCCTCCATTCCCTTACATGAAAAACAGCATTTCCCACTTTTCTCTCCTTTAAGAGAGCTGCTTCATGTGTAACTTCAGATACAGGTTTTGAAAACCACTAATTTTTTTTTTTTCTTTTTAATGTCAGAAGCCTCTTTTCCCTTATTTACAAACATTTTAGACCACTTACTCTGTTTTCACAGCATCTGCTTAAGTCACCTTGGCAAAAGGTGCACTTTTTTTTTTTTTTTTAAATGTAATTTTGCACAGATGAAAGAACAGGCAGAAAGCCAACCCAACGTGAACAGCCCCATGACAAACTCAGTAGGTTGGTACTATCCCTCTGCAATGCATGCAGGGACTGTGGAAAGAGGGCCTCATTTCATTAAAGCTGAAAATGAAAAATATAAAGCGTACTTTCCATTACTGACGTGACATTATTGAAAGGAAAATGGGACAAATTCATCTGTGTACCTGAGGCAAAGGTAAAAAAAAAAAAAAAAACAAACCTAAAAATATATAGTTATCCTACAGCCACAGTAGGTAACTCAACCACATGTGTTTGTCTTTTGGGTAATATATAAGCAACAGAATATTTTTTCTAACATCAACTGAAACTGGAAATGTCTGCAAAAATAACTAATGGAACGTGGGTGTACCAGTACAGAACAGACCAACACCAAGTTTCTTTAAACTGTTAAACTTTATTATAAATTAAAATTTCTTTACAAAAATTGCACATAATTGACCACTCTTAGGTTCTGATGCACTGGCATTTGCAATAGTTTCTTTAATCTTCAAGTTTAATAGTCTCTGCCATGAGTCCAATGCAGAAAAGGGCAGTAAGCAGCCCTCTTAGAGCCTTCAAGTGCAACAAGCATACTTGTGGCCACGGCAGTTACACTTTCCTTAAGAGCGGCTGCTTTTGTTTTAAATCCTGTAATGAAAAAGTCTCAAAAAAGGTTTAAAAAAAGGAAAAACCCAAAGTGGACTACTTGCTTTTTACTGTAAACACAGCCCAGTAAATTAATCCCAAACACAGATCTCTCAGGCATCAGTGAGAGTGTCAAGTGAATCAGGAACAGCAAAACAAAGAAAACAGAAAACAAAAGAAAAACATGAAAAAAATAATGTCTGTCATTTGGATTAACTATACTTACGTACATGATGCTATGACAATCTGGCAGGGCCCAGAAGCGAGGCCAGACAGGAGTTCATTTTTCCAGAGAGGAGGGTCATGTTAATTGTTTCCAGCTTCACGGAAAGCAGACCGGAGGCTTGATATGCTCAGCAATACTCATCTGCCTTATGCAGATCTTAGGCATAGATCAGCCTGAAGAATCATTCAACTGATTTTGGCATTTAACAGAACTTATGGCTGACTGTACCCAGCGTTCAGAGATTCTTGCATTCTGTTCTGCAAGTGTTTAAACTTAAAAGCTCATCTAGGCTGACTCCAACCTCTTGGCACTTGGATACTAGTTTTCTCAGGTTATCAGTTTTACCTCCTCCTGACGCTTCAAACAAGAGTTGCTGCAAGAGATGGGGAAGCAGATATAAGATTTAGCCAAAGCTTGAGCATCACCACATCTAAGGATATGGGATATGCAGAAAATTTATAGGAAACCTCAAACTGAACCATAAGGAGAAAACATTACATCTTTCCATAGTGTTGCACATAGAGGTAACTTATGAAGAGCTCTCTGATATAAATGATGGACCTGTAAAATAAAAACAAATATTAAGTCAGCAGAATGCTGTGCACTCAAAGTCATTGATTTAAAACTCAAAAATCAAATGTAATACTTTTTTTTTTTTTTTAAATCAGTTTTTCAAGTATTATGTTGCTACCAAATGAAAAGGCAAGTTCACATCTGACCTTAATTCTGACCCTTGAATTAATTACATAAAGACAACTATTTTTCTTCTCAAGACTCTTGCCTTGTTCACTGCACAGGATAGAGCACATTCAGAGGATAAAGCAGCTTGCTTTGTCCCTTCCACCTTTTAATTCTATAGGTTTTCTCCTAAGACATCTACCACCTATCTATGCTTTAACATGGCTTTAGCTTATATGCCTGCAACACTAGCAAAACAAAATGGCTGTTTCTGTTTGTTCCTTGCTTTGTTGGTCTGTTGTTTCTTTTTGGGTTTTTAAACCATTTTACATCTGGAACTAAGAGAACCAAAAAGGTTTAATGCAGACATCTACAGAAGCCTCCTTCAACTACTGCTATTGCGAGTACCAACCCTAATCAGAGTGTAATTGGTGAAGGGGTTTGTTAGCATTTAAAACTTTCATAACCGTTTAAATATATTCTCTCAGCAATCTTATAAACGAGCTGCGGAAGGGAATGACAGGTTTTCCAGGGATAGGAAATCCAGAATCTGAATCATAACCCACTCTTCAAACAATATTTCACTTGTTTACAATAAACTACAGTCGTCTGCAACTGTCACTGGTTTGTATAGCTGTCAAAGTGCTCACTACACCTCTAACTGGGCATTTCTCCCCTCTCTTCCACCCTCCTGTCCCTAAAAAACAATAACTGCACTTTGTGTGCCTAAGTGATTTTACTTCACATTGCATGGTTAGTGAGGTGGTTGCAGGAGAAAGCTATATGACTTCTTCTGGGTGTAATCCAACTACACTATTTTACATATGTTTTATTTCTAATTGGTTCATCTTTTTTGAGAGCCCTCTTCTGAATTAATTTGAAACATTTTTCCAATTGCATAACTAAATAAAGCAGTGACCTTCTAAGTCAGTCTTGCTGTAATGTGCGTAGTGCCTGAAAATGTAGTCCTCCTAATACAATGACTGAAGCAGGGATCTGTGACTAATTGCAGATGACACAAAATCATCAATACAGAGACAGAATTAAGGTTGAGTATGCAACCATGCCTTTCACGTCTCCTGACTGAATTATTTGATCTTATCAACTAAATAACTGCCTACTTGGGGGTATTTTTTTTTTCCATGACACTAAGAGACAGTAAAAAGGGAAAAAGACTTCATAACTGACTATAACAGCAGCCATACTACCTATTATCTATCAGTTAAAGCTTTGTTTTAAACGAAAAACTACTGACAGAAGAGAAGGGTGCTGAGAGGGAGGCTCTACAAAAATGACACGTAATGTGAAACCACAGAGAAGTAGCTCAGAAATGCCACAACCAAGTGGTGAGTCACAAACCCAGGGCCTCCTGGATCCCCTTTAATACAAAGCAACTTTTCACAAGCAGAACATTTTGGGTGAGAGCAATAACACCAGGAAGATCCATTCTGTTTGAGCTGAAAAGTAACTCTGTTGCTGTGCCGAAAAACACTTATTTGTGTAGAGGGATAAAAACACTCTCCACACAAATACTATGTACTATTCATTATTTCAGGAGGAAAAAAGCAGATAGCTTTCAGGGAAATCACTACTTAAGCTCTCTACATACATGCGTTTGGCAGAACCACCATTCCAACTCCTGTAAACAGTAGTTGTTAACTTCCAGCACAAGAAACCTTTTATCCCTCTACTGTATTTGAAATGCTAGTCATCTCCTCCGGGTTAAACAAAAAGTAGAACACAGGTTCCCCAATAGAAGAAAGATACAAATAGTATCAGAAATATAAAATATCCTTTCTACTTCAATTGCTGAAGGTACCTCTCACACTTGAAGCAAATGCTTCTGTGTTTATACACAGAATATTTCAACTATCAAGAAACCTTGAGTTTAAGAGCACCATTGATGTACATAAAGCAGAGGAAAAAACAAACCTACAGAACTTCATAATTATTCATTTTAGTAAAGTGCACTGACTTACTTCTCTTTGTCCCATTAGAAAACACTCGGCAGCAATGGCTCTGAGAAAAAGAAACAAAAATATTTATTCTTGAATTCTTTCAAGTGCCATCATCGGCAAAATACTGATGTGGAATGGATCTACAAATTCCTTGTGAAGACACTGACTAACTTCCAATGATATTAATCTACAGTGAAAAGATAGAAATAGCCATTTTTTAAAAACAATCTTACATGAGCAAGACATTTCAGTGGTTCCCCATTATGAACAAACACTGAAGAAAAAGATCAGTTCAGCATCACTGGATAATGGAGATTACTGCTATTGTGATATATAAAGGGGAGGGTAGAGAGGAGGAGACAGAAGTCAATAGTTGAATTAAAAAAGGCAACTTGTAAATACATCATCTTTATCTGCATAATATCCATTCACATAAGCTTCTCCAAGAGGGAAATTCCATTCACTTGTAACAGTAAAGACATGACAGTACCTTGTCTGTTGCAACAAAGTAACTGCTTAAATAAAATAATGAGAGACTTCCAGCACAAGCCCAATTTGAAGGATGTTTCAGATTTACCTTTGTGATGTAAACCTTATAAACAAAAGTAATATCTATGAAAACAGATGTATGACTGTAGCATTACATTTTCCAGATGGCCAGGCATGTTGGGATATTATATGTAAACATCTTGGCTTGCAGTTTCAGAATTTGAACATTGCTCTCCTCCCAGTACCGCAGAAGTAGTCTGTAAAAGGCATTCATGAGAAAGGAACACTGCTCTAATCACTGGAAGCAGAACAGCAACGCAAAGATAAAAACTCATTATACAAAATATATTATACCTAATCTCAACCAAGAGCTGCAGATAGGAAAAAGAGGCAAGGCATCACACACAGTACTGACTGAGAATGTTTTCAGAAAAAGATGCACGTCAGGAGAGTAACTACACAGTATAAAATCAGAGAGAAAATATGATCTTGGCACAGTACAAGATTCGTTTTTTAGCAACTGTTCATTTGAAGGAAGACAAATGACTTCTGCTGTGACTACAAGCTACTGTGCAGCCAGTTCTGCTCACCCATTTCATGCAGTATCAACTTGGTCTAAGGAAGCTGTAAGCACCACCTCAACAGAATTGCAACTTGGTTTAAAATGCAGCCATTCACCTTCCTACACCAAAAGGTAGGTGTCATATTCTCTCCCTGTGCCAACAACATGCTTCTTTAACATCTAGCTTTTAAATCTCAGCAGCCCCTACTGATGACAAACAGTAAGCATTCAGGCACTGATCAAACTTATTCAACAGAATGTTTGTGAATTCACAGCAGCCGAACGCACTGATACAAGCTTCCTAATCCTGGAAAGAATGAAGAATATGGAAGAATGTTTTGAAATATTGTTCAGTAACAGTCAGCATGATGTCCACTTTAATTGCTTTTGTTTCCCATAAGACCTTTCCAAAATGATTTGGAAATCACTTTCTAAAGTGATTTGTCTTCGCTATAATGCACCAAGCCTTCAGGTAACACTGTTATATACTGGTATATCCATTTTATTTTGCTCCACATTGGAACTACACTTACAATAAACACAAGATTTTAATATACCACTAATACTCTCCATACACTTGAAATGTTGACATTTTGACTCATGTGCAAAATGGATAAATTTATTAACAGTTCCTATGTAATTATATACTCTGTAAATAGACTGGAAGTCTGTAAAATACTAGAAAGAGATTGAGAAGATGTCAGAAAGCACAATATACCTGAAAAAAATGCAGTACGAGGAAGAGGTTTCATTCTTCCAGTAGAAATCAAATTGCATGCATCTTGTACAAAGTGTTTACCTTGATTACACGTATTTCTACATACCTCAGTGCAAGTCCAGGATTAGCAGGCATGGTAGAACAAAACCTTTCCAAAGCTTTGGAATGTTGAGATTTCGGAATACAGCTCAAGTAGAAGGAAACTACCTGTAAAATTTGAATTATAAACATTAATCTGCTTTATAGGTGACTAATTTTGCCAAGATTGACGGAGAAGTAAACTACAAACTTTGTGACCAAAATAATTTAACACCCAAAAATCTTATCCCCTCAGTGGTACAGAAATCAATTCATACAGAAGCTAATGCCACTACTGTTTCAGTCCTTCCAGCTCATATTTAGTAAGCAAAAAGAAATGCACTGAGTGTTAGCAAAATAGGAGATAGGATTTACAGATCCAGAACAAAACTCACTGACGTGCTCATCTTGATCTTTCCCTTACTATTCTATTTCTTTTGTTTCTCAACCACTGTAATAAAAACTGACAGCTTAAATACTGTTTCCATCCTTCAGTGTTAGAGCTCTGCAGACCCCTTTTGCTCAACCACCTCGTCTCTCCTTCACAGTTTCTCTTTTCACAAATAAAGAATAGTCTGCCATTAAGAGCTGTATCTACACAATATCAAAACATATCACTTATTTACGCTTCTCTTATCCTCTACTCAAGAAGTCACTGCTAGATACTTTCCTGCTTGTAACACTATACTCTCCAATTATTTTTTTTATTAATTCCTAGCTGCCAGTGCACATATAGTACCTGTGCTGTATTTTGACAATTAGAAATACTCGTAAAAAGGATATCAGTCTTTTTGTTTGATTTAAAAACACCCATGCAAGTGTTTTTACCTTGTTATGAAACTCGTAATTGGTCCAATAATCAGCAGCACTAAAAGGAATTGGGTATCGTGTGGGGACCGTAACCAGACATCTGTTCACTAAGTCAGTAAAAACCTTGAATTCTTGAACTTTGTTGCTGGATCCAACAACCTTGTTATTCATAAAAACAAGATAACTGGAAGAAAAGGAAAAAAAAGATAGTTCTGGTGGCCTTCACTGAATAGTTTGGAGATTAAACTACTTTCCTCCCCTAACAACTTACTCCAGCCAGATGTTCTGAACAATTTCCTGCTGCATCACTGCACCAAGAGCTGCTTCATAAGCATCCAGTGCTTCACTAACACTCGCATGAAGAGACTGGCACAAACTGTTTATATTAGAAGTTAAAAAAAAAAAGTTACACGTTATTTACACAATGCAGACACTTCTAAGGGTTAGAAACAAAGCTTTCGAATTCCGAGATAAACTGAAAACTGCTTTTTGGTTGAAATGCACAACGGACTGATTTTATCAGGCAGCACATTAAAGTAGGGAAATCTCAACTGCTTACAAGGAATAACACAACCTACACAGTTTAAAAATGCAACTCTCAAATTGTTTTCTATTCTTGTATCTCTTATGAATTCTTTTACATACTAAGTGCTCTGACAAAACCTGAAGGGACACACCCTCAGTAAATGATTAATGTTCTGCAACTGAAAACTCCATTTACTCAGACCCACCAGCTGTTTTTCAGAAATACTTTAGAAAGCCTCACCAGTAGATCTGCCAAAGATATGGGATTTGCTGGTTTACAATGTCATCTGTAAGATGCTCTTTATAGAGAGGTGCTGTAAATTCAATCGGCATTGGAAAATTCAAGAGATATCTGAAAGAGAAAAAGTGGTAATAAATGGTAACATCCCTTTACTCAGAAGACTCCTACAGAGACATATCATTTAGTGTAGAATCTTAATTCATGAGATGTATTAAAGAGATGCATCTACTGTTCTTAGAGATTAATTCTGCTCAGAAAGATGTAAGAAAGTATCGCATAAAATTATAGAAATACTTTATATAGAAAGCATTCTATTCCATTATGTGATGATGTGAGAAATGTTTCTTTCTCTGGCACAACTACCCCATAAAATACATCAAAACATAGGATACAATTACCTACCTACCATCAGCTACACTGCGCTACCAATATTAAATTCAATGTAAACAAACACAACCAGGAATAAAAACATAACACCCAACTTGGAGATAAAAAAGATAAAAACATTTCACAGCCTTATCTACATTTAAGCTTCAGCAAATAAGATCTTCCTTTGAAAGCCTTCAAAGGCAGCTAACTTTTATGGACTTCCTCAAGTTTTCTGTATGCAAGCTTCCTACAGTTAAGTAGATGCCTGAATTTTAGATGGAGTTTCAGCAGACTGGTTACCAACCTGCACTTTTTCAGCAACAACAGTTTGCTCATGAAAAGCATGGAGCTCTGAATGGAGGCCTTTTGTAAATGCCCTAAATAACAGGTTTGACACACAAAGTTTTTTGCTTCCAGCTTCGAAAAAGCAACTTAGGGATGCAACATATTTGACTGATGCCCATTTTCCCCATAACTTGCTGCCTGTTTTGTCTTTTTTTCATCTTACGGCTTTGCAACTTAGTTATGAAAGCACAAACAACTTACATGAACCTTAGAAAATATCACAGCATAATTCTCTGAAGTTTTACTAAGGTTTGCCAAGCTGAAAGCAAAAGAATTACAGACTGTCCTGTTTTTCAAGAAAATGTCAGTATTACCAAAACTTGCACAGAAAATATCATAAACATACCTTAAGAGATCCATGGAATCATGCTGTTGGTAGGTATTCTCAAAGAAAGCTGCCACAAAATCTTGCAACAGTGGAAGAACACTGCCTGACCTTCCCTGTTTTTTGATGGTTTTTTTAAATTAAAAAAATTAAATCAGACATAAACCTGAAGCTGACAAGAAAAATTTAAGCATAATAATTATTAAGTGCTGTCTATCTCTGTAATACTCCTTTGCTTCAATCTCTCAAAAATAATGTTTAATTCAGTCAGTCAGCAAGTAGAAGGAAAAAAAAGGAAAACTTCTTACAGCACTCTGCTGTTACTGTCTATTATTCTTTCATAAGGATACTAACACTGGATTAGAACAAACAGTTTGAGGTGTAAGTTTATCCATGCATACAATTCCTTTGGTTACATTAAATCTTGTCACTAATCTTGGCAGTTCTATATTAAATTCATATAAAGAAAAACAAGACATTACAAAAATATCATGAAGATTAATCAGTTTGAATAAGTGTTTGAAATGACATACAACCCCCAAAACTTTTATAAAGCCAGCAGGCCAGAGACACTTTTGGGGCTGGGTATTATTACCTGTGATATAAGAAATTTACACAACTGATAAAAAATTTCTGCATTCTGAGGACTCTTCTGAAATGCTCCAATCCACACTCCATAGGCACTTTCACTCTGCTCCATCTGCAAATATAAGGTGGCCAAACTCTCCAAGAGCAGACAGTTGTCAGGGCAGAGCTCCAATAAAGATCTACAAAGTTCTGCTGCAGACTCCCACCTAAAGTAAAAGATAAAGGTTATGTTTAAAAAAGTAGAGTTGAGCACTCTTAACTGGAAGTGTCTGGAAACATCTTACCTCTCAAGGAGCTTCAATAAAGCTATCATGTTCCTATAGAGAGGAAAGCATACAGCTATTCTTTTGTCAGCCTCAAGGCTTTCATCAGTACACGTTTTGACTGCATCTTCAAAACAAAAACATTAGAATTAAGACCTTAGACCTCAAGTAATGTCAAGTGTTACTTAAAACATTAACATCACAAAAATTATCCCTTAGTCATAAAATTACAAAAGCCTGGGAAGTTCTCAGCAATGCTCTTCTGAGTTACTAAAAACAGGAAGATGACTATTGCTGGAAAAGTTCAGGTTTTTTTCATTAACATATCACAATGAAGATAAGAATGAAAAGAAGTCTTTCAGGAGTTTCATCCCTCATTCATTTAAAAACAACAAAAACTCAAACAGTACAGGAAACATACTGTCAGCTTGAATAGTTCACTGGTAGGATATCACCTACTTAGAATTACATAGCAGTAATTCCAGTGTAGCTGCTGAAATCAGTTCTATTGAGGCAAGAACTAACAGGGGGAAATTCTTTTTACGTTAAGAAAAACAAAGTTACTAAATTCCAATACTAAACAACACATTATCATGGCTAGACTACTTCCACTCCTACAGGTCTACCTACAAAGATTATGCTTGACTATCTACTTGCACACCCTATCATCATATGCAGCATACTTATACTCCACAACAGTTCAATATTAGTGAAGCTAACACACTAAGTACTGACATTCAAACAACACCAGTATAAAGTCTTCCCCAGGCAGTGCCTAAGTCAATTTCATTTCTTCCAGTATCTTCATTAGACATCTTTTAAAAAAATTACTCTCTTTATTTAAACTCCAAATGAAGACAAACAGAGGCTTTGCACTGCATCTTCTAAGGAAGCATAATAATCTTCCAGTAAAATAGCTTTCCAATTGATATGCCCCACTAGGGATGGGGGGGGATAGAGAGGTAATGAGCACAGAAGCCTGGCTTTTAAGTCTACAAAAAGAGGCAGTGGCATACTGTCACAAGCTACTGTTACCTATCTTGCTACAATATCATAGTTCAGAGAAGAAAAGCTACAGCTTTCAACCACAGATGAAAAAGTGCAGGTATTAAGTACCCAACCCATGGAGTTTCCTTATTCTTCTGTTCAAATCAAGATGAAATATGCACTGGATTTAATCCCAGTGGTTTAACATAGCAGCAATATCACACCACCAATGAAATTCCAGAAGTTGCATAATATTTTTTCAACTGCAAAAAAAATGAGTAATGTATTGAGTAGTTTACCCCCTTAATCTTACCTTCAAACATAGCTAACAGTGTATCAGGATCAGTCTTCACATCTTGAACTGTTTGCCACGGTATTAGAAATGGCTCTTTGTTCATTATCCTTGAGGGACCGACGTTAGCTGGATCATAGAACTTGACTGGGAGAATGTTGAATTCAATTAAATGTATGTAAGACAGCCAAGCCAAGCAACGGTCACTTGAAGTAAGGCGTTCTGATATTATCTTTTCATTTGCTGATTTTATAGCACTCTGTAAAGGTTAGAAGAAACACATTCTATGTTTTAACCATATAATCTTTTAGGTATGAGGAAAGGAAACAGGAAAAGTTCTAATGTTCCAAATCTTTCCTATGGAGAACAGGAAATAATTCATGCCCAATCAAGATTAAATTTGGCTTAGTGAGTGTGTGAGTATATTCAAGAAATACACAACTATATAATTTCTATTAATTGTTTTAGAAAAACTGCTGAGAATTTTGCAAAGAATGATTTTGAAATGTTGCATCTCCCAATGCATTTTCAAGCAGTTCTCTGCTTCTCACTAATATTTCCAATACACTTTTTAAAACAATCACATTCAAAACTAAAAAAGCCCAGTTATACTGCGAGATCTCAAATAAAATCATTAGAGCAAGCAATGAGACAAAATCTAAACACAGCTACTCCTGAAGCAGAACAGAAATGTCATGGCTAAAGGTATGCCAACCTTTTTTCTCCAAAAACGTAGTACAAAGAATGCACTTTCAAAGGAAATAAAAACACTTGAAAATTTAGGCAAAAATCACAGTATTTCTTGAGTAAGAGGTGAAAACTGAAGTTTCAACAACACTTCATTTATCCACTCTTCAAAATATTTTAGAAAATTTTGTTTCGAGTTTCTAAAGAGAATTATTACCACTCAATTTCAAGTAGTACTTTTACCTAGAATTTTTTTCTTATTAAATAAGGTTAAGTAATTCCTCCTCACTACAGTCCTTTTCAGTGACACATTACAGGTACACATCCACAAAGAAGTGCTTTGCTGTAATACTTTGAGTAAAGGTAAGAGAAACCAATCCACGTTCTCTCCTCATGTACTCTAGACTTCCATTTCAGCACAGCACAAACCAAACTATCAGTACTACTGCCTTCAGAATAGCTGTTGGTGTAAGTCAACAAAGCATTATAATTTTTTATTTAAAACTGAGCTAGACTAAAACATTAACAGCCTTAAAACAACCAAGAAAATTGTTTTAAGATACAGCAAGCAATAAATGCCCCCTGCTGGCAGGAATGAAAACCTCGTGGTTGAAATTACCACAGCTCCAACTTTCAGGACTCTTCTCACCTTCCTTCCCAGTTTGTGGACTACAGGTCAGCAACAGCAACCTGAATTCTCTTTAAGTAACAATAAAAGCCTGAGATAAAACTTTGCAGTTTACAGGATCTCCAATGCCTGAGATAACACTCCCCAATTTTTGAAGAAGGTGCAAAAATGCAAAACAACATGCCACTATGATCTTCCAAAAAAAAAAAAAAAAAAAAAAAAAAAAAAAAAAGTGATTTGACCATTTCTGTAGCAAAAAAACCACATCTGAATACCTGAGCAAGACAGAATTCACAGGTCCCTAGAGAAGCACTCTACTGCTAACCAGAAACTAAAGCAATTCTAAAGCAACTAGAAGTATTATGAAGCATAGTGCACACCCTACGCTTATTAACAACCCAATGCAACAGAAAACATGCAACAAAGAAACTAAATGTATATGCAAATTTATGATTATATTGTGTTTTAAAAGACAAGTCCCTAGGAGACTTCCTCTAGCAAATATAAGATGCAACAGCATGAAGGTACAAAGACAAATCTTAGGGTGGTAACTTGGAAGTTACCTGCAGCAGAAGAAGAGCATTCTGGTATCTTCCTGTAAACAAGCTTAAGTGAACTCTGTACAGCAGAGTCTCCAGAAGCTGGAACGATAAGAGATTGGGATTTTCCTCTCCCTCAGTCACTTCCATTAGGAACTGCAGCATCCTCCCACATACATAGTCTTTTCCATCAAAAGAACTCTCCAAATTCAAGAACTAGAGAAAAATAATTCACATTAAGAAAAATACTTGCGGAACTTCAAGGTTAAAGTTTAAAACAACATGAATAACATACTTTGAATAATGTATTTTATCACCTTATGAACAATTTTTCTCTCTCCCCACATACCAAAACCTCAGAAAACACTTGAAATGTTTAATGATCAACTTCAATGTCCTTGTGAACATTAATTTTTGCAAACTTATATAAAAAAAAGCAAAATTAAACATCTTGATTTTAAATGACTGATTTTCCTGAGAAAAAAGTGACTATTTCTACATACATTCTGCAAGCAGAACTTTGAATTACCTCACTGTGAATGGAACTTTCACAAGCTGTTCTATTGGCTTATTTAGACAAATTGCATTTTCCTATTTAACAAACAATTTCTACAGTAGGAAATGCATACATTTGACTTTTTTTTTTTACTTACTGTCCACCATATCTGATAGGATGGGGCATACTCCACTGCTGTTTCACACATTTCCTGTATCTCCTCTTTTGTTCCTCTTTTTGAGAAGAGTCTGAGGTAATGACACCAAATCTCAGGATTTTCTTTGTTGTTCTCAAGAGCTCGAGCCAAAACATTTAGAGTAGAATCCAAACACTCTGATGATGAGCTGTGAAAATTGAAATGATAGTATTTGAAAAACAGACCTACTATAGGCTAAGAAAAACTTTATCTTCCATTATGTTTCCTCCCTTCTTTTTTAAGTCTTTTTCTTACTATGCTTATAACTTAGAAAGCATGCTCTCTTCAGACTGAAAGTATTTTCTTTGTACGTTGACTACTGCATTTCTATCCTACATGTTTCAGTTGACCTACTCTCATTGTCACCACTGCTGAAATGTATCACCCACAACATCACTATGATCACATCTTCTGTTTGGTCTCCATGAACATGTACAGCAAGCATCAGTGAATGTCAAAGGGTACCATTTTTTCCACATAGAGGAATTCAGTGACATACCTTTGCTCCATATCAGCACCATCTGCCTCTCATATGAGGGGCCAACATAATAAAATAGGAAGCATTGTTTTAACAGTATCCCTTGTATTCTTTTAATCTGCTTTTAAGAGATGAATTAGTTCCATCTTTGTTAAATAAAGTTCCTTAACATCAACTGTAATCAAGCCTCTTTTCTGCATGGGTAAGGTATAAAACTAAAATGTAAAAGCAGACTTACCCTTCATTTTGGTTCAAGTATTTATATGCAAGTTTAATCCAAAGCTGTACATTGCAGGGGTTTTCTTGGACGCTTGCCTCCAAGTTGGAAATGTCATCAGTCTCACTTGTAAAATATCGGATATCATCTGGAGTCACAACAGTATCAAGAGCTGGAATTCTTTTCTTATGTTCTGTAGGGTGGGCTGGAAATGAAAAAAGAATCTTTTCAAAACAGAAGTGATTTGTCACTATACGTTTCATATGAGGAGTGACATCTCTATATACTAAGTGTAGCCACAGTCAAGAACAAAATGATTACTTCAGCATCTTAAAAATTTAAAACTGTGTAACATGTAGAAAATTGGTTATGTTTAACATGTGAAGACAAGAAATAAATAGCAATAAAGACTGCTTCTTTGGCCAAAAGACACCAACTAAGTGTCCTTAAGAAACAGACATCTAATGTCAAAAAAAGGATTATCTCAAAAAACATTTATACAGGAATACAGAGGATGCCAAGAAATCCCAAAGCTCCCACTTCAATGATAAGTCATATTTCAGGTTACTGATGCTCAAGCAAGCTTCCAAGTCTCAAATTATGTTTAAACAGCAGCTTTGCTTTTTACCTCCTGATCTCATCACTTATGATCAACACTGTACAAGTTTAAGCTAACAGATGAAGTGTGCTACTTTCTATAGTTCTGGGGAAAAAAAAGACAACATCTTCTGGAGAAGCTGTAACATTCCAGGGATCTCTATGTTCCCTTTCATGAAAAGATAGGCAGAAATCCCATCTAAGCTTCTAATCACACTTTATACCAGTTTGTTGATGGTTTTTTGTGTTGCTGTTTTGTTGTTGGGTTTTGTTTGCTTTTTTTTGTGTTGTTTTGCTTTTTCTTAAGCCCCACCCATTAAGGTCAACTTTGAGAAAAGTTACATGAAAAAGGAATGTAAGAATGTCTGTATACAGGAAACAGGAAGAAGCCAAAAGAGCTGAAGACAATACTATTTTTTTTAAGAATCATTTTAAATATCGGGTGTTGGGAAGAGATTGCTATGTTTTTCTCCCCAGTATTCTTTTTTAATGGATGCCATGCTTCTGAATTACCATATTTAATAGGTCCAACAGACTGTTCCTCCTCACTACTGCTGCTATCTAGCAGAGGTTTTCTCCAGTACTTTGGTCTCCATTTCCTTTTATCTTTCCATGTTGTAAACGGAGGTGCTGTAAACAAACAAAGCAATGGAAGTTATCATTTAACTTTTTCTAGACAAGATTGAAATATCTTTGCCAACGAATATTTCAGATAAAAACATTCCACAAATGCAATATAAATGGACAAGTTTTCATAGAGCTTATTTATATCTGCGGTTCTCGAGTGCTTAAGTCATATTTTTGATTGGGAAAAAAATAAAAACTAATAGAACTAATAAAACTAAAAAACTAATACAACTATCATATTATGGCCTTAAAACAAGTTCTGTTCTTTAATCTATCAGAAGTATAATTAAACTAAAAAAAATTGACACACAAAAGGGAATACTCTTGGTTGAAAAAGTCAAAATACTAGTGTAATTTAAAAAAAAAAAACAAAACAAAACATTTAATTTATCAAGAAAGTTACTTACTATGACCTTTACTCTCATTGACATTGCTGGCCAGAAGAACAGCCATTTGATCTACTGACATACGGTCTCTGTTTATACCAAAAAGTTTTTCCACATATTTTTCTGGAACGAGAACATTCATGTCTTAGGTAGGTAAACAAGCAGACAGGTAACTTACCAGCAATTTAACACAATCTATGCTTAATTAATGAAATACAACTGCTTCAAGAGGTATGCTAATTTAACACATGTGAAGAAGAGAGGGCAAGACCTCATCCCAAGTTCTGCTCCATCCATGGAACCACAGCAGTCTTTTGAGTGAAACATTCCACAAACCACAACTGTAGAAAGCCACTACTGAGGACTGAACTGGGCAACTAGAGAAGTATTTTACACATTGCGTTACATAAAAAAGACTTGCTCCCAGAACTTCTAATGGAAACTACTGCCTTTAGAAATAGATCTTTAAATACATAAGCAAGCAAAAATTTCTTAAAAACCTGTGGCGGTGCTGATTTCTTCATCAGTGCTTTTTTCTGAACAGCCAATCAGTTCTAAATTGTAAGACAGAATATCCTGAAACAGCTGCTTTCGGCTAAGAGTGCAATCTTTCATGTGCTGCCTAAAATAAACAAAAAAGCAATTAAAATGTTTATCACAGCAACAACTTAATAAAGTCCATAATTAGAAAGTTGTTACTAGTACACACAAGGGTGAGGCATAAAGAAAATTATCTCCATGATTAATAACACAGTCTGTTCTGAAATTTCCCTTAGATGTTTCTCTGGGCGTTCTCTGAACTTAAGTCCACATCAGTAACTTAATCTGGTCTTCATTACTTCAACACAGCCTTGCTCATTAGAATAAGATTCTACACACTTGCTTTGCACTAACAGAGGAACACAGTGTTTAAAACTTTCCAGTTCAAATAGGTTAGTTATAACAATCAAGATATCCCTTTGCATTTAAAGGATCTGAAGTATGATTTGATTATAATAGCTATGGGTTGATTCAAAAAAGCTTTCCCTTTTTGCTGTTAAAAAAAAAAAAAAAAAAAAGCTAAGTACATTCCTATAATATTTTTCCACTTTTCAAACTTGATTTACTCGTGGCCAATACATATCCAGTTGTTGTTCTGCTAATTTCTTACACCACACAGCGTAATGCTGTTTAACAAAGTATTTTTAATATGATTTAACACCAAGCTTCAAAGGAGCACAGTAACTTAGCCAGTATTTTACCAGAAACTGGAATTTTTCTACCACAATGCTATTTTCTTATATATTCACTTAATGTTTGCTATGTACCCTATGTCCATTTGCTGCATAATATACTTCTACCATGATTAACACTATCCATCACCACCTGAATATTTATGATGGCCTAATGTTATGCCAAAGTTCTAGGTAAGAAGAGCCTTATCTGAATTACAAGGTAATCAAAAGGTAAAATATTCTCTAGTAGTCTCACTTTTTTATAATAAAAAATTCTATCTAAAAAGCCATTTCTGTTCATGATGCAAGATTCCAAATTATTTTTACTGCTAACTACGTATTTGCAATAGGATATTTAAAACTAACTTTCTTTTCTAAAACTTGCCCTTAAAACCCTACATGGAGACCTTCTGAAGAAAACCCTGCCTATTCTGGTCTTAAATCATACATCTATGAATCAAATAGAAGAGTACTCACCACTGACAGTCATCATCATTGCATGTGCCTGTTAAATCGAAGCGGCAGAAACACTGCTTTGGCTCGATCATATTGCTATACGTTACTGAACTGAGGTACAATTTTTCCTTGGTTCGAAAATACGGACTAAACCTAAAACGAAATAATGAATTATTGTGACAAAGCATACAAACTGAGACACCAATTAAACATTTTGAAAAAATAACCATTTTTTTTTTAAGTACTAAATCTCATTATTTCCAAAACCCTACTTCCAACCAAAATCAGTAGTGACCTGTAGTATATATAGTAGTATAATAGCTTAGTGTAAGACATAGGTGGAAAACAGATGAAAGGAGATGGAATGGAATAGTATCTCCACACAGATTCTGCTCTAATATTCTCTTCTCCCCCCATGGAGAATTTCAATCGCTAAGCTTCCTAGTTAAAGAAAACTGCTTCAAGAGAGTCACGTTCCTCATCACAATTCACCTTTCTGTACATGTGTGGGTTATCACAGAAAAGCAGTGTAGACTTCTTTAAAAAGGTGTACATACACCAGTTAAACAGCTGTTAAGAGTCTACGTACCTGTAGGATTTAAATACTAGAAGAGGACTACGATATGGTCCAAATGGAAATGGTTTTGCTTCAGTTTGTTTATTCTGTGATGTAACAAAATCCATATCCACTGAAATTTCCTAGAAAACAGATGAAAAGATATATAGCAAGTGCAATACAACCTAATAAAAGCCACATTCATATTTCAAGTGTTTACCTGACCACATAAGAGATCTTCCTTAGGTGCTACAAAGGCAGTACTTTTCACTAACAGTTCTTTTAAACTGTCAGCTTTAGCATAAAGTTTTTTCAGTTCATCAACATTCAACCCAAGGAAAAGCTCAGGCTCCTCTGCTGCCTTTTTTGAAAGTTTGTTTATAGGTTCTTGTTTTGGAGTGTCCATGTGTTTAAGATTTGGCTTAGTATAAGAACTAGATTCTCTGAAAGATCTCCTTCGTTCCCGGTTTGAATTAGACAGCACCTCATCATCAAAGTAGTTTTCTTCACTGTCCAAAGACAATTTATCCTGGGTAAGATCATGAAGTGATGGCTGAGGTAATGCAAATTCAGCTTCCTCATCTGCCTGAGGTGCAATATCGGATTGTTCCTTGGTTTGAAGTGCACGAGCTTCTTTCAATTTCTGAATCTTCAAAGCATACTCATACTCCAGTTGCTGCAGTCGTCTTTTTTCTAACGCAATCAGTTCTGCTGAATGCTTTTTTGGACTTGATGCAGGGGAGCTCTCCAATTTCAACATTTTACTTGGCTGAAAAGGAAAAAAAAATCCCTTTATTTCATTTTCACATTTACTGATGTATTGACAGGAGGCAAATTAAACACGGGCAAGTTATTTAACTCAAGAGTTTATAAAAATATTCTCATACTCTTGCCAAGAAAACGTCAAAAAAACAGCAGGAAAACCACCAAAAAGTCTCCTGCAAATCAACTGGCATCTATGCAGGTTTTTCCAATACAGATTACACTACATCTTGTGCAAGGCTTGAAAAGAAGTTCTGAGCATATTTAGAAGGTGAACTACAACACAAGTATCCACAGGAAAAAGAAAAATTTGCAGAAGTACACAGGCAAGCATAGAGGCCTGGTCCTTCCATAATTTGTAAAGTAACAAAAAACCCACTTCAGTGCCTTTGGTAGATAGCATAATGAGATGGTTAATGTCTACAGACAGCAATTTCCTTTCTTCACAGACAGAAAGATAACAGAATCTGTATCTTAACGACATTGCTCTGGCAAATATATGTTGGCTATGAACAATTTTTTTGTTTGTTTGTTTGTTTTCCCCACTACTGATTTCTCAAAAAAAATCAGTTTTTTTTTTTAAAAAATTAGGAAGATTCCTCCAGTGCTTCTAAAATGTTCTCCTGCTTTTACTGAAATTCCATCTGAAAAAGGTTTCGTAATCAAAATTGCTACTACTTTTTAAGAACATAGTTTAAGAGCACTGTTTAACAACAGAGACTTACTCCAAGATGTTCTTGTTCCAGTTTTCGTTTCCCAATTTCCTTACTTGCTACTGCTTTTGCTCGAGCAAGTTCCTCCCCATATTTTAATGCCAGAGCTTTTTTGACTGTTACTCGCTGCTGAACTTTATGAATCTGGTGAAAAAAAAAAAAATGCAAGTTTCCAGATATGATCAGACAATAAAATACAGTTAGAAAACACATGGGAATTAATCATGCCTCCAAAGCAAGCCTACTGTGTTCAAACAACAAAGCTTCCTACTTTAAGTTTTCTAGTTACAATTAACAGAAATTCAGAATTTACTTGTTCCTGAAGCTTCTTGAGAAACATCTTATTAGCATTCAAGATCTTCTCTGTTGCCTGTAGCTGCTCAGCCAGTTTGTTAATTTTATTTTCAGCAATTCGAACATTCTCTCTTTTCTTGGCTTCTTGTTGCAACAAATGTTTCAAGACAGATTCATCCTTCATCAACAGAAGCCTAGAGAAAGACACATAACATTATTTTCCAGAGACATCTCTTGGAGATATCACTGTTCTGTTTAGAAACCAAGTTGTGTTTAGAGTGATGCTTACCAACACTTCTAGCAAAGACCTAAGTGTCTCCGAATAGTCTTAACATCCACGAGACATTAAGTGCTGATATTACATAAAATAATTCAGTCTCCAAGTTTTCACCAGATTTGTACTGCTGAACAGAGAAAGGTAAGAAGTGGCCTATCTTCAATACTCTTTTTGACATCCAAAAACCACATTTTGTTGCCTTGTGTTACTCAGCAACCCAATTCTTTCCTAGGCCATGTAACACCTCAAGACATTGCAAGATGTAGCTTTAAAGAACAGTAGAGTAATCAAAGATGAAGAATTCGATGGATGGAAGTAAATAAAGGAAGAAGAGATGGAATTAAGTAAAGGAAGGGGGATGAACATGTTTCAATATACATCTGAACACAAGTCAGTTTCCTCACCAGTCCACACATCATAAAGTGACAACGAAAGCAAAATGTAGGATGCAAAGTACCTATGATCTTTGCCATGGCAAAGGAAGGGTGAGAAGCGTGGAAGAGGCATGCTAGAAGAAAAGGTGTACAGGAAAAGCTTTAAACAGCATGCCTAACCTGCAGAAAATACTAATTCATTTATATGAAGAACATCTAATTGCAACACACTATCCTCCAAGTGTACTGACCAGAAAAAAACCATACTCCCTTTCCCCTATTTTAGAGTTATTAAGAAGAACAGATAAAGTTCTAGTCACTGAATGTAAAAACAGCTGAACAGTGTTACTGTGAGTAATAACTTGTAAATAGGTTTGAACACCAAACTTGCCCTTCAACATAGCTCCTTTTGTATAGCAACAGAATTCAAGGTTCAACAACTCAAGACAACAACAACAAAAAAAACAAACAAATGCTTGCTGTACTTCAGTGACTACACATTAATAAACACATACTTAGAGCTTTCATCATTCTAAGCAAACAAGGCAGGGCATGTGACAGTGAAAGAGACTCACTTGTTTCTCTTCAGCTTCGCTTCTGCTTCAGTAACTTGTTTTGTTGCTACTGCTATTCTCCCAATTCCATCAACTTCACCATCAGAATTTGCAGGGGATGAACTGTTCTTCAGTGGATCAGATTTAATTAAACGTTGCTTTTCACGACTAAAACATATGTCAAAAGCAAAGATTTTCAGCAGCTTCAACATTAATTCCTAACTTCTAAAACCTTCTAAATAAAAAGCAGCAGTGCAAGACTTTCAATTTAAAGAATAAGACTTCCACAACTCCAAACATCAATTGCAAGTCAGTTTGAATCTAATGACCTCCTTCAGACTCCTTCAGCTGTCCTACAAAAAACTCATGGTGGAGAGACTGTACATAACAGTAACGTCTTCAAACCTCTATTTTTTTTTCTAATCACAAAAGCACACTACCAAAGACCTACAAAGAATGTACATTTTACTTTAAAAACAATCACACTCGCTTGTACCTAGCAATCTCTTCTTTTAGGAGTCTGTATTCTATCTTCTTATCTTCTGGTAGAGCCTCTGGAGTTCTCATTGGATCGTTTTCTTTTTCCGATTTTGGAGGAGCTTTGATTCTTGAAGCCTTTTATAAAAAAAAGTTGAAGTCAATACTTCTCATGCAAGTTTCAAATACAGCTATTAACAGTTTTTCAGCACAAACTTAAAGCTGTTCAAGATTAACAAGACTTTTAACCAACTACTTATTCTACCATTAACTAAACATGCTTTCAATTTGAACTGAAATAATGAATAGCTTATGCAAATTACAATTTGATGGTTCAGATAGGAGTAATCTATCTACTCTTGCCCTTTTCCGATGTAATCCAACTGTTTCTTGATTCAACTCTAGAAGTTTAAATTCTGTAAACAAAGCAAAATAATTACAAAATAAACCTATTAAATATTGATAGATTACCTCAACATTTCTCCTTGCTTCTTTTATCATGGATTCTAGTCCTCCAAATACGCTGTTGGTTGAGTTAGATGGCTCTCCATCAGACTCACTATCATCTGAATCATTTAACGTAACCACAACAGACTTGTGTTTTGGAAGCTGTATAGAAAAAGAAAAAAATTATATTAAAAAAAACTACAAAGAGATAACTGAACTCGTTTACTAGGAAAAGGAAGTTAAAATCCTTCATTATGGCACAAGATGGTACACTAATTTCATGTTGCATGAGGAAAACTTAACTTGTGCATCTCCCCTAGCATCCATCCTTGATAATGTAACATGAAAGATACATCAATATTTTCTTCCTACTCCCAAGTACCTACAGCATATTTGTAGCTTCACAGTTATAATACATGAATCACAAATATTTCACTCCTATAATTTCATAAATTATTTCCACTTTAAGGAGAATTATCTGCCACTTACAAGCAGTTTTTGTGAACAAACTGAAGGATAGCAGGGAAGTCTACCCTAGAAATGCTGTAAAGGAGACTATTAAAGACCAGGACTGTCACACCTCTGCAATGCCTCTTGTCCCAGCCCACAGTTAGAGTCAGCTGACCTCACAGTGAGCTGCTCATGCAGTTCAACTGGCAGAACACAAATGCACACGGAGAACACAGGCTCCAAGATTAATCACTTTTTGACAGCATTAATAATCGAATCAGCACAAAGAATGATGTAGAAACAAGGAGATTAGTCTCAGATGTTCTGAAGCTGCAGTCGGAAAATAAGCAACTTCAGTTCACATTTCCCAGACTCACTTTCCCATCTCCCAGCATAAGTGAATGAAATACAGATTTAAGTTTAACTTTCACATCAATACACGTCTGAAGTTTTACACGCCTTTTAAAGTGCACACCAAAGAAATCCTCCACTTCCACGGGGAAAACAAAGTACTTTCTGATATCCTCATATTAAGGATCATATCCACTGCTTCTGTATGTGCTACAGCTGCAGTACCTGCACCACCACAGCAGAGTGGTGCAATTCCAATTTTTACTGGTTCGTGAAAACATAATAAATCCCAAGTTCTTCCCCTCTCAATTATTCTCCGACTACGTTTCCAGGTCAATCTTACTTGATCAAATTGGGCTTTCCACCCTTCTTCACATGCCCAAAAAAATCACTTCCTTATCACTGGCTTTTTGACATTCACAGACCGAAGCTGCTAAAATTCTGGCACAGCAGGGCAGCATGAATTGTCCTAAATCTCCCCTTTGTTTTTCTACTAGGGAAAAGTTGACAGAGAGGAGGATCAAATTTAGCCTTTTTCCAGGTGTTACAGCAATGCCTTTCATCACCATAACTTATATAAGACATTTATTACATTACTCAAACTGCCTGACAACTTCCCAGTGACATAATCTCCCTCATTCCTGCACCTTCAGTTAAGCACCTCTCATCTGTGATAATGCAGAGCAATAGAATAAATGGTTATTCAAGGCTTCTTTTGTGTCATCACACGTTTAGTATTTAAACATGGATAAGCACACAAATGCAAGCTTAACGACCGTAGAAAGGAATAACAAGATTAAAAGACAATGTGTTCCTCCAAATGTAGTAAAAATGAAATAAATACAAAGACACCAATCACCGATATTAATCACACTGCTCACTGCAGGTCCTGCATGTGAAAGAGCGCAAGATATGTTTTTCAAGGAATTGCTAACTAGCCACTTCTGTTCACTGTCAAAAATAGAACAGCATATTACACGGACTTTAATTTGGCACAACACAGGCAAACACTTTTTATAACCATGCTTCCAACAATCCAAGATGTTTGCAGACATCACAAATCAAATGCTAACTAAAGTTAGACATGCTGTTCAAGTTCAAGTTACAGAATGTGACTGGAGCTAATGTAACGAAATCTGCTGCTGTTATAAGAGAAAAACACCCTCCTCTCCTTAAGCTTGCACTGACAGACATGTCATTTGTCACCTGTTCTGTGCTGATGCTCACATAGTTCACTGAAAAAGAAGAAAAAAAACACTACCCAACCCCATCACCACCTCTGCAGAAGAAAATGTTCTTTACACCCCTTATAAAGTTTAGTCTTTCCACTAACACAGAAAGTTAAATAAGGAACAGGAATGATGCTCCAGATCACAGCTTACAAGAGAGATACTATCTGACAAGGAGTAAGAGAAAGACCACCTTTTGAGGGGAAAGAGCAACGGAGGGGTTACTCTGGCCAGCTACCACAGTTTCAGTCCATGCTAATCTGAAAAAAGGATTAACTGAACTACATACAGAGTCTTTGAAATACAAGCTTCATAAACCTGAAATTTATGCAGCTTTAGCAGAGATCAGCTACATTTACACTAGCAACAAGCACAGATCTGTACCTCAAGCACCTTAAAGTGAACTGACCCTACTCTGATTCCGTGTAATAAACACTGCAGCTAGACTTCACCAGTACACTCTCCAAACTTATTAGTTTGGTTTAGCAGAAATTATGTTCCTTTTTACAGTGAAAAAAGAAACACATTTTCCAGTTCAGCTAAGCATGGGTGTGTTTTGATGCTCCCTCATGCTGTTAGATTCTTAATTCAGCATCAAATTATTTCCAGAAGAGAACATGGATTAAAGTTACTAATGATTCAAACGTTTAACTGAAGCTCCACCATTCCATCCTGCATCCCTAGTTTAAAAAAAAAAAAAAAAATTCTCATCTATTTCCTCTTCCCCCAAATTGAATTCAACTCCAACTTGCAGACCTGTTAAAAGAAAGCACCAATATTTCCTTACTGTGATCACTGCTCGTGGAGGCCTTGGTACTCTAACAAACTTTGTATTTTGTACTCGTGGCTGAGATACAGTATTAATACTGACAGCAGACAGATTGCTTCTTGGCACAGATTGCAAATTATCTGGAACAGGAGGGGAAGGAGGACCACTGTTACTTGAAGTTTCCTAGCAAAACAAAATAAAAATAGTCATTACACATGGGTACTTTACAAGACAAATGTAAGCATAAATGATCTTGTTTAGATCATAATTTCAAGTTTCAAGACATGAAACAGACTATATAACTGTATCAGATAAAGCTTGTAACACTGCAATAATGCCAAAATGCCATGACACTTAAAACAATCCCAATCTCCAAAACCATAAACCTTGTTTGTCAAAAAAAAAAAAAAAAAAAGATCACACAAATCAGACGTAATCTTTTAGAAGTTACAGGCCTCCCAACTCCTCTCACTGTAAGTTTGAAATGAAGTTATGCAAATGAAAGAAGCAGTTTTGCAGAAAATCCCTATCTCTCCCAGCATATTCAAGTTTTTGGCACTTAAAGAGTTTCATAACCCCGTCATAAATAAATAGTAAGCTGCAAGTTACAATTCAAAGAGTATCCCTGGAGTTGGTTTTACTTTGATTTCTTTTCAGGTGGTAGAAATTGATTTTTAACAAATCAGAAAAGCAGCATTCAATCCCCCTAAGTTCACATTTAAGTTTTGGTCAAGATTGCCACCTAGAGGTTTACATTTAAAACCCAATGAAGTACCTCAGATCTGAAAGCCCGTTTGTTAGCTAGCGACTTGAGTAATTCTTCTCTTAAGAGCATCTCCTCTTCTTCTTCCTCATCTGCAAATGGAGGTTTTGGTGGCTGTTCAGGCTCTTCAGGTGGAAGAGGTGGAAGGGGTGGGGGTGGCTCAAGAGAAACACAAGAAATACCCTCCATATAAAGTTGGCTCAAAGATGGTAGAGGCTGAAAGAAAAATAAAAATAAAGGCTTGAGACTTCTGAAGCTTATTATTCACCAGAGGTTATGCTATCTAAATTATTTCATGGTTTAAAATTAAACTGCAGTGGATTTAAACTAATATCAAAGGCTGTAGCTAAGTGCCTGTAATAACCCCATAAAAAGATGTAAACAACAAAATTACATTGGGAAGACGAAAGTAGTGCAGACATACAACTATACATGAAAATTCAGAACCAGGGGTAGTCTAGTCACAGAAATATAGCTGATCTGACAGGTTAGGCCAATGGATTGTACCAAACTGTTTAAAAAGCAGTCCCAAAAAGGTTTTACAAGTTCATCTTGCCAACAGAATTCCACACTTCTTCACTCAAAACAATTCAGAGGGCACCAGAACAGAGGAAAATAAGCGTCTCCTTTCTTGTTGCTTTCCCAGTAAGAACAAAAAATACTCACTGAGGAAAAGAGGTGGGGAACTACTTTCACTTCCATGGGTACTCTGTGATACAAAGATACCTTTTGACTGTTTCTATCAAAGTGTGAAAGGATTGTGACAAACTACAGGGCTTTCTTTTCCCCCCTAGGTAACAAACTTCTTTGCTAAGAAAACACATAGCACCACTAACAGTCAAGAAAAAAAAATTTTATTCAATACATTAAACTTCAACTGAACAGAAACTATCATTCAAAAAGAATATTGGATAATCAAATCAAGTAATCAAATAATTCAGGACTACACGTATGTTTGATAAAACCCTAGCATTAGAAATAAGAGAAAACGAGAATAATTTCAGAAACACTTCTTTTGAGGTTACTTACTGGAATTGGAGGTGGCAGTGGCAAGGAAATTGGTGGTATTGTTGGAGGTGGATAATATCCTACTGGACACTCAAAGTAAGGAGGCTGTGCTGGAGAGGAAGCTGTAATAAAAAGAAGCAACTCAGTGTAAGAAATACTGAACTCATGCTTCTACTAAAACAGCAGCAGCCCATTATTTCCTTTTAATTAATCAGCACTTAGTTTATCAGCCTGAAACACAGACAGTGCACGTAAGTCACAGATGCACAAAAAAAGTTACACACAAAATGCAAGCACTCCCAAACAGTACTGCTGAGGTAATAAGGGATAAATCATCCCAAGTCATATTTTATTTAGTATGTCAGAATCTGCATTCTTAAACTACAAATCTCAGGAGAGTGACTGTGATTCTGCGACTCCTGGCTACTGCACACCAAAACTACAGTACAAATAAGGACTGAGGCACACCAAATGTACAGCTCACACTGAATTCAGAAACAACATTAGAGTGTGAGATGCTTGATACATTGCTTGATTATGTAGCAGAGCACTGTTTTAGCAAATTAATGTATAATGTAGATTAAGAAGAACAGGAAAAAAAAAAGAGAAAATAAAGAATAGATGAAAAGCAGAAGAATAAAAATTACTAATGCAGTATTTTGATTAATGGAGCGCTTGCAACACTACACCTTCTTCAGCATTTTCACATGGAACAAGAAAGTCTGAATGCTTAAAAGCATCTCAGAGTCATTAAATATTTTAGGTTCGAAGAAATCCTTGAAGTCATTTGCCTTAACACGGGGGTCAATACAGTGCTAAAGTTTGCTAAGTGATGCATCCAGTCAAGTTACGAGTATCATTAAAGGGCTGAATTCTCACATTTTGAGGCAATCTGTTTTAGTATCCAATTGTTCTCTGTGAAGATTTGCCCTTACAGGTAAAATTTCTTCTGTAACAATTTAAGCACTTTCCCTTATCCTTCTGTTGCCCAGTCCACAGAAGAGTAGGCTCTATCTTCTTTATAACTGCCACGAGGTAGCTGAAGACAGCAATAAAGACTTGCCTCAGCCTTCTTAACAGTCTCAGCTCTTGTGCTCTCTTTTCATAAATCACACACCTCAGTTCCCAAAAAACTTAGAGGTCCTCTGCTAGACTCATTCCAATACATTATCTTTCATGTAGTTGAAAACTAAAGACAAATCAGTCTCCTAAATTGAGAGGGGAATAAGCACTTCCCTCAATCCTCGACCACTCTGTTCAGCCATTATAGCCTCAGTGCTCAAACCCAGGCTGCAGCTGACCTCTATCTCACAAAGGTGCACTGCTACTCATGTTTCGTTTAACACTAATACTGACCCCAGGCCCTTGTCTGGGTAAGCCGCAGCTTTGCAGAAAACACCCACAGGCCACAGATTTCTATACAACTGCTTTGGAATATAAAAAAAAAAACCAAACAAACAAAAAAAAAAACCACAATAATAAAGATTTCACAGTACTACCATGAGAACCCTGGGCACCTTCAAATCATCACTACAGCAGAGATAGAAAGGAAACAACAGTCAGTATTAGCATGTTAGTTAGTACACTTTTTTTAAAAAAAAATTTTTATTTTTTATTTTTTAATTTTTTTTTAAAGCTAGTAGATCATATTCCAAAATAACTGCTCATTTCCTACCTTTTAATCAATCATCTTATAAATAACAGGAAGTCTTACCTGGAGAGTTAGTTTCACTATCTGTATCCATGGCAACTTCATCGTAATTATCATACTGATATATGCCTCCTGCACTATCCGTAGGCTGTTTATCCAAAGACCATCTCAAGTCTGTATCTGAAGACTGAAAGCAACAATGAGAGTATTTTATTTAGCTGTTCTTACACTATTATTTCAGAGCAAACCTATTTATAGAAGATTTTATAGACAGGCTCTGTAACAGTCTTCTAATTACTTTATAAATACAATTTACTCAGCTTATTAAAAAAAACTTTTGAATTGAATACTAAGTTTCAATCAAATCTACTGCAGGTAGTGACTTCAAACAGTTTTTAAAAGAGTTCTTAGAAGTTTGGAGGGGGAAAGGAGGAAAGCCTACCGAGCTTATATATTCAAGCAATTTTTAAATATTTATCAAGTCATTTATCTAGTAATTCGCCAAGGTGACATGTTTCTTAAACACTGGAAAGGAAATAAACTCTTGATCATTCCTGTTAAATATGCCATGGCAACTAACAAGACCATTTAAACTACTTTTTATTAGAAAGAACTCAAAATTGTACATAGATAATCTTCAACAAGGCTGAATTTGTGTATTTAGTTGAAACACTTTCCAGTTGTTGTAAGACTGCTGTTTCAGGACACAAATCCTTCATTTGTCCCACATGAGACACATATCACACTACATAATGCCAAGAGACTTAAATTTAACTTGAAGTAATTCAGAGTAGGAATTAATATTCAGAAATGAAAAGACAGAGAACAGGTAAACATTACTTCATAAGGATGCAAAATGAGGAGTCTTAAGAGGCATACAGTACATCTGTTGGTAGCTTTTAGAATGTTTAAACACTTCAAGTCTCAATTTCCTCATCATCTCATGGGAGTCTTGAATAAAATTACTTCAAACAGGGAGTCACAAATCCTCTAGCTCTACTGCAAAATGGAATTACAGCACCAGTAGCACAAACCACTTGATACAGATGCAGCTGCTGTAAGTAGTTTCTATGATGAAAGAACCAACACTGAAGAAATACTGCCTTTTTGTTTTCTCTGCAATGTACCTACGATTTAAAGGCAGAATGTGATGATTCAAGTGCATTTCACTAGTTGCAAGAAAGGAGGAAAAACATCCTAGAAGCGCAGCAAGACCACACTGCATGGTTCTAATTCTAGCCCTTCAGAAAGCTGACACAACTCTGGCATCCTGTAGTGAGGTTTGAAGTAATTTTTTTTTGGTGTTTGGGCATATTTAGTACCTTGAGAGATTAAAAAAATACTACTAAGAAATTAAAGCTTGGATGACATTTTGAAAGCAGTAAGTCACTGAGGTTGTAGACAAAGAAATTTCAAGTGTGGAGACAGAAGTGCAATCTAAGCAAAGAAAGTAAAAAAAAAGTTCAGCTAAACATCTCTAGGAGGAAAATATTTTATCATTAACTTGCCGCACGTCTACAACTCATACAAAACTCATCTTACTAAAACCAAAGGCAGTATCTATCTAGAAAGGCATTAAAGCTTTGTAACCATTGGAATAAGTGGGTGGCTCCAAAAGTAATGCCTCCTATTTTATTCTGTTGAACCACAATGTCAGAGGTGCACGTTGGTGGTATGGCAGTACAGGTTGAGCCCTCCCACCAATATCCTGTCACATTTTGTTGCCATGCAACAGAGGGGCAGTCTGTCACAATGGCATCTGACATGGAACTGCATACACAACAAAGATGTATCACTGAATTCTTCCATGCAGAAAAACAGCACCCACTGACATTCATCACCACTTGCTCAACGTTTATAAGCTCAACGTTTGTGAGCACAATGAGGCAGTGGGTGGTGCATTTCAGCAGTGGCAACAGTAGGGCATCTGCTGGTGCAGATTTCGATGAACGCAGCAAAAAGGCTCTTGTTCATCACTTATGGTGGTGACTATATTGAGAAAGCATTCTGTAACTGAGAATTTGTTCTATCTAACAGTGCTATTGTGCTCTTTGCATCTGCTGTAGTTCCCATAGAAAGAAACAAGAGGCAGCGCTATCAGAGTGACCCATGTACTTTGAGTTTTAAGGGGATAAGGAAGGGTTAGTGAGTGAAATCAGGAAGAGCATAAAGACAGGAATCAGTCATGAATCCCAAACAAACCACAACACGTGACACTACAAATTCATTACCCTGCTTCTTGATCTCCTTTTTCCTCCAACTAGCTTCATAAACCGATTGTACTGCTCCTCTTGATTTGAGAGGTCCCTAATTTTTCTGATTTCTTCTTCTCTCTTTCTTCTCTCCTCCTCCTCTTCTTGTTTCCTCTGGTCTTCCTCTTTCTGACGCCTATCTTGTTCCTTTTGTTGCTGTATCTTCTTTGATGTCTTTGTCTGTTGTTTCCTCAAAGTTTGCTTGCCTTTAAATAAAAAGATAAGTGATTAACTCTACTTTAACTAAATAGTTTCCCAATTCCTAGAATCTTCAGGATCTCTTAGTAGATGAAGACCGTTCCAGAAGGATTAATGGCTCATAATTCACTGTTTCACAAAACCTACTATATCTTTTTTCAGAGCATCCATTGTAGTTTCCAATTTCAGTAACATTAACTTATTACCTGTAGAACTTGTCTTTTTTGTTGAATGTGCTTTTGCACTGGCTTTGACCTTCTGTGTTACAGTTTTCGTTTTTGTTAACTTTTCCTTGCTTTCCTTCATCACCTGTTGCTCTTTTTGTTGCCATTTTTTACTAGCAGACTGAAGTGCAAGAAGCCTAAGCTGCAATTCAGACATCTCCTCTTCCTCATCAAGCAGTTTCTTGAGAGAAAAAAAAAAAAAAAAAAAAAAAAAGATGAGACAAAGTCAAGAAGTATCATTTAATAAGTCACTAAGTGAATATTTTTGGAAAGTCTTTTAAAGAGTCTGTCCCTACATTTCTTATAAGAAGATTAAAATAATGCTCTAATGGTGAAGTGCTGTTCCTGTAGAATCAACCGCTTCTATCACTGAAATGTTTCTGAACCACAGTTTGGAAAAAAATCGTAAGAAATACCATAAAGCAATGATACCTTACTTATTGGGGACTACTTTCTTACCTTTTCAGAGATTACATCTGAACTGCTAGGCTTCCGCGTTGATGTTTGTTCTTTGTCCTCTGCACCTTTCAAAAGAGAACGGTTTTGAGCAAGTTGCTTCTCATGAAACAACAGAACTATATCAGAATTAAAAAGAGAAATGAATCTATACAAAAATATCAATGGTACCCTACCAGAATTACAATTTTAAGTTATATGTACACATTAAAAACCATTAATGGCATATCTGATGAAATCTGCATCATCAAGAAGGGATAAACCTAAGGCAAGATTTGACTCTTCAAGTAGTCCTCTGGCTCTACTTCCCCAAGCAGAGCAGAACAGATCAAGAAACAAGATGAGAACAAGGCTTCTCGCCATCCACTTTAGCCAGCATCTTGCATCAGTTACTGCTCTGAGCATCTCAGATCCCACTGGCAGATATTTTGAGTAACGGGTCAGTTGTTTGCAGAGTGAAATAAAGGCTCAATGCTGCAGTAAGAATGTACTCGGTTCATCTTACACAAAATATACAGTTATCCTATGAAAGTGAAAAGCAAATAGTAATGCTTTTCCCATAAATACATTGGCAAATCAATTTTAGACTGCCCAAAAGCCATGAATCTGTTTATTATGTTTTACATATTTACATACAGCATACAGAGTGCTATATCATTTAATAAATCTAACCAATCCTGATTGACACAATAGTATTATTATATATCAATCAATAGTATATTTAACATTGTATTGTATCATTATAATGGAAAATATATACAATTATGAACAAATAGAAGCTTTGCAACCCTCTCCTGTATCAGCCTTTCTTCAGAGAGATCCCTCTCCAAGAAAGTTACATCAGTGGAAAGACTGCAGTCAGCACAGCTTGCTTTCTTCTCAGTATTTTATGAAAAGTCACAAAGAGGTTGCTTAAAATATACTAAGAGCTTATACCTAAATAAAAACAGTGCACAGCAAGTGTTTGGATATGCATGTTTTTTTTTTTGTTTTTTTATAAACACACACGAGGGAGAAAAATAATTATTTAATGCCCATCTGCATTCTAAAAAGATAAATCAAAGAAGTTACTACATTAAGCAAAGTTCTCCGTCACTCAGTCCACAGGATGGAAGCGAGGAGATGCAGATAAGGACATGGTATGTAAACTAGAAGATGAAGACACAGGCAAAACAGACTAATGAGAAGCAAGAGGAGAGGAAGGAATAACACTGTAAAGCCTCTGTGAGTGCAGTGGACTTGAACTACAGATTCAATTCTAGAATACATAAGCTTTACTCAGCTTTAAGACAAATTCTTCAACTCTGGAAGGTCAGGACACCCAAGAAACCAGTTTGTAAAAAAAAAAAAAAAAAAAAAAAAAAAAAATGTTGCTGATGTCTTAGTATATGCATAATTAAGTAGCATGCGTTTACTTGTTACTCATTAATTTGCAATAATTAAAATCCAGATCTTTCCTACTCTGGAAACATGTATTACATCGCCATAAAGGCCTCCATCTTGGGCATTCTGCCTGCTTTCAGGTCATCTTCATCATATGTTTAACTGAGCAGTTTGCAAAAATCCAGATGTTCTCAGTACACCTATTACAACATATATTTCCCCTATCATATGACCAGGTACTTTCATTCTCACTGCTTTCGAACTTTGAAGGCAGATTTTCTTGCAGACTCTCTTGCTTTTAAAATAGTCTTTTATTCCTGCCTTGCAACTTCCTCCTGCAAGCTACTGTTTTCCCTCTTCGTATGGCCAAAATTGACTGCCTATGCTCCCCCACATCTCCCATTAAAAATTATGTTCCTTCTTAAAGAATATCTGAATTTTTGTTTAATTAATGGGAAAAAAACAAGGGGAAAAATATCCAGGAAGGTTTATCTAATAATTATCAGTTTTCTCTAGCTCTTTACTGAATTTTTAAAAATATCTCCCTTCTAAATTCTGATTCTGAAGTCGCACATGAATTCCCAGTACAAAAAAGACAGGGATCTCTTGGAAAGAGTCCAGCGGAGCCACGGAGATGGTGAAGGGCCTGGAGCATGTCTCCTATGAGGAAAGGCTGAGTGAACTGGGTCTATTCAGCCTTGAGAAAAGAAGACTGAGAGGGGACCTGATCCAGGTCTGTAAGTATCTAAGGTGTGGGGGGCAGAATGGCGAGGCCGGACTCTTTTCAGTGGTGAGTGGAGACAGGACAAGGGGAAACGGCCAGAAACTGCAGCATAGGAAGTTCCGCACAAATGTGCGCAAGAACTTCTTTACAGTGAGGTGACGGAGCACTGGAACAGGCTGCCCAGGGAGGTGGTGGAGTCTCCTTCTCTGGAGATGTTCAAGACCTGCCTGGATGCCTACCTGTGCGACCTGCTGTAGGGAACCTGCTTTGGCAGGGGGTTGGACTCGATGATCTCTGGAGGTCCCTTCCAACCCCTACAGTTCTGTGATTCTGCAATATGAATTGATCATTCTGACTTTGACTGTTCTAGTCCCACCCTCCTTCATGTTCCTACAAAACCCTCACGTGTATCCTTAGTCCATTCATTTAGCAATTTGTCTCTTCCCACTCAAATTGATAGTTTATGCACACTGACAAATTAGCTACCATAAGATGACAAGTGACGTCTTTCAGCACATCCTCCAACACATTAAACATCATGTAGCAGAACCAGCTGGAGGCTCAAATTAAGAAATTTAAGCTAACTACCTCAGTTTGCTCATCTTAAAAGTAATTTCAAGGACCTTTACGAGAAGGTCTTTATCTGTCAAAAAAAAAACAAAAAAAAAACAAAAAAACCACACCACAACCATGCTTCCAAGCAGTTTTGGTGAATTACATAGAAGAGGAAGCCAATACAGCAAGATTTACTGTATCACTTTAAACTAAAATCCTAGTTTCAATTACATTATTTAGTACAATACTTTCGAACACTTAACAAATATGATAAATTAAGGCATGCAAAAAGAACTATAACAAAACAAGTGAGCTACAACAACTTTACAGGTATTTACCTTGAGTGGATTCTGTGACTTCAGATTTCTGCGACGACTGCTTTGTTCCTTCTTTGACTTTTTTCAACCTGCTCCTCTCAGCTGGAGTGGGCAGTTTTTGTCTGAGAGGTTTCAGTTCAAATGCCTGAAAGGCCATAACCGGATTTTTCTCCTCAGGAGAAACTTCTTTTATAGCATCTGTTTTAATACTGTCATTTTCTACAGTTATTTGGTCCTCAGTGTCCGCTGTTTTACTATCATCTTGTTCATTTTCTTCCCTGTTGCTCAGAGCCAATCTTTCATCCTTATTAATGTACTCAAGCTCCAACTGTATCTGCTTATACTTCAGGAGCAGATCCTCAAAACTTTCTTCCACAGAGTTTTCACTTTTAGAAGAATAGTTCTGTTTTCTAGATGGAGACCTTCCAAAAGTTTTGGCTGAATTACCAGTTAAGAAAAGTAAGAAAAAAGCATGTATAACATTCACATAGCAAAGGTAAGACTGATGACAAACAGAACTTAAATTGATTTAGTTTTCTCTTCAGGATAGCTTGAAAAATACCATCTATAATAGCAGCACATAAAAGATGTGTCACTGTCAGATACGGACAGCAAAAATAAACACTTCTCTCCCATCGCCAACTTAAAAAGAATATCCTAAAATTCCTGAGACGCCTTCTTTATCTTGGGACAACTGCTGCAATGATGAGAAGGTTCCATATTACAAAGAGCAAGCTGAACTCCTAGAGGTCCTAACTCTAGTCCTGGCTGCCCAGCTGATCACCTGAAAAAGATAGGTTGAATTCATTCTCATTGATTTTATCCTTTCATAAATGCTAACATCTAGCCACAGCACAATTAAAGACTGCAGAAACCGTAGTTCAACAAGTGAGGTAAGGCATCACATAGCCAACAGCTGTGGGGAAGAAAAAATGTTGGCTAAAGACTTGCAATCAAAACACTTAGGAGAGGATTTAGAAGTATTAATTAGTCAGAAAAAGTTGTCAAGAAAATTTGTATCCGCTGGGAATAGGTAGTCAAGCTGTTCAAGGCAGGCTGTGGAAACATTCTTAGTGAGAGTCTTACCATGCAAATGTGCTCTGCACACAGCTACCCATCACAGAATATCCCAAGTTGGACAAAAACCCATAAGGATCATTGAGTTTAACTCCTACTTCTCCTACCTTGAAAATCTTAAAGTTGAAAGATAACCAATCTAGTAAAATAATTACCCCCAGGAAAAAAAAAAAACAACATAGGATACTGAGTCAAGTTTGACTCATTGAACTTATAATATCAGCACTGATTCAAAGTAAGTTATGAGAAATGCTTTTTCCAACATGGAGTCAATATTTTGAGTAAAAGAATCCTGATTAGAGAAGAAAGCAACTTAGTTTTCAGCTCACAGAACACATCAACAACATGGATATTTCACTATTTTAAGACTACACATTCTTGCTGTTTATCCTGCATAAACAAATCTGTATAACAAAACATTTCCTGCTCTAACAATGCTCTCCTAAGTGTCAGCACATAAGATAAAACTACATTAAATCCACAAGGCAATCAAAAACTGGAGGAGTTTTACAAATATACTGGAAATACATCCAAAATGTATGAGCTTTGTGAAAAATAGCCACAAATTACCTAAGAATTCTGTCAATTCTGTCAAACTCACAGGTTTCTGCTGCTAACAAAATGTTTGTAATTTTGCGAGTGACAGGAAAATCTGAAGCTGATTAACTTATTTAACACAACTTATAAAAATAAACCTAAAAATGATTTGATAATTTCAATACTGAAACAGTTTCTGGAGTCATCTGGAGTTGGGTCACAGAAGACAAAGTTCTGAAAAGTTTTTTTAAGCTTGGATTAATGAAGTTGCTACAGCTCCCGAAAAGGTACTCATAAGAAATGTGGTGTTTGTTGTGGTTTTGGCTTTTAGCTGTGACAGTTAATTTTCTTCACAGTCACTGGTATGGTGTTTATTTTGGATTTAGGATGAAATTAGTGGTGATAACACATTGATGTTTTTGTTGCTGCTGAGCAGTGCTTACACAGAAACAAGGACCTTCCATTTTTTTCAAGCTGTCCCACCAACGAGAAGACGGGAGAGGACAGAACCAGCTGAACCACACAGCCAAAACGTTGCTGTGTGCTACCTGGCACAGTGCTCAGCAATAAAACTGGGGGCAAACAGCCTGGATTAGGGGAGAGCTACTGCTGCTCCAGGGCTAGCTAGGCATCAGCCAGTGACAAGCAATCGCATTTTGCACCACTTCCTTTTGTATTTTTTCCTTCCTCTCCCATTTCTCTCTCAGTTTATTAAACTATCTCAACCCTCAAGTTTTTACCTTTTTACCTTTCTCAGTTCTCTCAGTCATCCCATTGGGTCACATGATACTTAGCTGCCCACAGAGTTAAAGCACAACAGTGTTCCATGGATGCAGGTTTGCTGGCTTTTTTCGTATATAGCTCTAGATACAGAGTGCAAGAGTAGGTGAGTGCCATTAGAGGCAAACAGGAGTGCATTAGAACAACAGTTCTATTAACACTGGAGAGCCTACAAACTACAACCAAAAAGAGATCAACTGATTAGAAAAAAAACCTGAAAAGGGAAGAGGTCAGAATTCAACAGTAACCTAAGTCACACTGTGGCTCCATGTTTCAGACCCAGAACTCCACAAATCTCTACATAAGAATTTCTACGGAAGGCTCATTCAACAGCTCCACACTGAAGTTGCTAGGAAATAAAAACATAAATCTATTAAAAGCTAATATCCAAAGAAAAATAATTATTTAACTCTGACTTACTCCAACTCATTTACACTTCCACTCCTACAGAGCGCACACAAAGTAGCAGTTACATGGATAAAGAAAAAAAGCCATTATTTATTAGCAGACCTTCACATTTCTCACCTGTCCTGTGAAATTCCAAATATCACCCATTGCAGTGAACCTCCTCGTACCAGTTCATGCGAGTGTTTCATCTGAAGTCACTTGCTAATTGCACCCCTCCTCCATTCACATCAGCAATATGAAATATCTCAATATGTAGGGATAGTGTAATACCAACTCATTTGGATAGCAAAGACATGAAAAAATATAATTCATATTTTAGAGAGAAAATCATGGGCCTTTCTTAATTAATCCATTAGAACCAAATGTGACTTAAGGGGCAACAGCATTAGAAAATCACCTATAATATTCAAACAGAAGAGTGCATCTTACATATAAGCAATAAAAGACTTCATTTCCTTGCTCATTTGGTTTGAAAACCAAATTATCAGTTTCTGAATGATCCCTTAAAGTGTCCAAGATGACTGTATCTGTATCAAGCATTGTAAGATCAGCTGAGAATGATAAACATATTTGCCCTGCAAATTACACAGAAAGTAACTATTTTCTGGTACTTCGAGCAACACTTCGAACTAAGAGCTATAGCCTCTATTTTCAGCACTGGCACTGCTGCACTGTGCAACCTTGGGGCAAATCACATCTTCATTCCCTGCCTCCAAGATAAGAAACAATCCTTGAATGAAGAGTTATGAAGGTTTCAGGAACACTCTTAACATCACCAGACAAGATTAAGAACAGCTCTTTATCAGTAATTTACATATTCTCTCTGCATACCAAAAAAGAACGGTTGACACAGATACATAATCTTGGCTCCAAAGTAGCACAGGGAACCAATGAGCAGCTTTCAAAGCCTTAAGTCCTAGGACAAGTAGGAGAAAAAAAAAATCCTTGTTCTTGGGGACAAGCAGCACAACCAAAAAACAAGTCACATCTTTCAACTATGGCTACAGATTCAACAAAGCAGCATAAGATTCTGGAAAACAACTTTTAAGCAATAATTCTTTTGCTCAAGTTTTGCTGGGTGGTTTGTTTGTTTGTTTTTAGCGTCTGTGTTCTCAGGCAGTTGCATCAAGTCTCAGTGCCATGCTACCCCAAAGTTACAGTTGGCATCTAAATTGTTTTTTTTTCTATAGTGGTTCTGGAAAATGAGATTTTTCCACTGCTTTTCCTATTTCTACTCTTAACGGGAGAAAACATTAAAACCCATGAAAATCACCTCAGCAAACTTATCCAGAAGCAACTGATAGAGAATATCTAGAAGAAACACTGGGTGTGGCTTTAAACAGAAACAGGGCATTCCATGTTACCTGAACTCCCACGTAATGCACCTTCTGTGTACAGAGCCCCAAGTCACATTTAATGTGAGTTTGGCTTTAGCTACAAATAACCTCTGAAGGGCTGCAAGTGAAAATGAAAGAAGGGCAGATCCTTCATTGCCCAACAAGGGAAATTAACAAGCTCAGCACTTTAGTTTTATAACTAGGACACTTCAATCATATATTGTCTCACTGACACCACATCCTAAGGCTCACTTCGGGCTAGCACAGCAGCACCTCGAATTCAACAGAGCAGGGCTTTGTTTCAGGCTATGCTTTTTTCTATCCCTGATCGGGCCGGGCAGGCTGCAGCGCCGTCCCAGCGGGAACCCGGCTGCCCGGAGCCCCTGGCGGCGGGAGGCAGAGCCAAAGGAGCCGCAGCCAAAGGAGCCGCGTCCCTCCCCGCGCCCCGGGCCACGTAGCGCAGCGCTGACACAGCGGGCCCACCCGGCAGCTCGGGCCGCCGCCCCCCGGCAGAAGGAAGGATACATTTCCGAGGCGAGGGCTCTCTCCAGCCCTGGCTGCCACTGAAGCCAGCGCAGCTTCCCCCTCCGGGCGGCCTTCCCGGCGGGTTGCCGCCCCTCTCGCCGCCGCCCCGACTCCTACCCCAGCGCCATCCGCCTCGGTAGGGCCGGCCTCGGAAGCGGAATCGGTCCAGGGCGTTGTGACTGCGCTCCCAGAAGGAGAGCCGGGGACCAGTCTCCGAGTGCGGGCCCGACGGCATCCGCGGCGCGGGCAGAGGCGGCGGATGGGAGCGGAACGAGTCCTTGGGCCGGTAACCGCCGTGGCCGTGCAGGTGGCCCATCTCGGGCGGGGGCTGGTGCCGCGACCGCGGGAAGCGCCGAGAGGACGAGAGAGAGATGCCGCCGCGGAGGCCAGGAGGCGGCCTGCGCCTCGAGTAGGGCCTGTTGCCCACCAGGCCGCCGCCGGGGTCGGAGCCGCCGCCGCCGCACGGCCCAGAGCCGTTGTTGTCATCGTCGCTGATCTCGCCGTCTTCCAGCTCTCCCTCTTCCTTAGGGGAAAGCCCGCTAGAATCCAGCGCTGCCTCCGCGGGTGCGGCCTCCGCGGCCGCCATGGAGTCCGAGCCAACGGTGAAGCGAAGCACAGCGAGAGCCGCGCGGCCGGTTTCGCTTCCTGCGCACGGCAGCTCCACGCCTCGCCCCCTCCCCAGCCGCCCACCCTGCGCAGCCCCGACCCGTGCGGACTTCTCGCGAGACCACACCCTGTCCCCGCTGCCCCGTTACGCAACTACGAAAAGAACGCAAGGGCTGGAAACGACTCCCCAAGCGCGGGGCGCCCTGGGTAATGTAGTTCCCAGCTAGGGACGGGGCCGAGAGGGGCGGGGAAAACCTGTGGCTCAGCCAATAGCAGACCGGTGGGAGTGCAGGCGCCAATAGAAACTCGAACCGCCATGTCGGTGGAGGAGGCCGCCATCTTGTTGAGGGGAAGCGCGCTGCCTGGAAAAGGAGGGCGGTGGAATGGTTGTGAGCGGCTGCGTGGCCCGTGTGGTGATTGCGTGTACGTTTCTGAATCGTGGAGAAGACTGACGCCTTTCAGCGTTTTTCTTTTTCTCAAGAATGAATAGTATTTTTTTTTCAGTTAATAATGTGCTACAAGTGCCATAAAAAATAAAATTATCAAATATCCTTTTTTTTTTCTTTCTTTCTTTCTTTATGATACAACATGATGAATGGATGATGCCTATGTGCTGCAAAGCCCAAAGCGATGTGCTCAATGCCCTCTGAGCACCCATCCTCTTCTTTTGACCCGAGGGGACAAATGCATGACTATGAGCAGGTGCTCTTTCAGTGATGTGGCTTATTACAAATTCAGAGTAATGGAATCTGTATATCACGTCCTAAATCTCTCCAATGCCTCCTATCTGAAGCAGTGCTGAATCTATTAAAATAGTTTCAAAGAAGAATTATGAATATTTTTTTTCTTTCTGGCAATCACCCGTCATAACGCAGTGATATGTGTTTCATGTCGATTTTATTCAGGTGGATATAACCCCTAGAAATCATGCTTAATTGGCGAGTCGCCCTGTTTTAGATAACCTGTGCTCAACAGGTCTCCAAAAGACTGGTAGATGAGCACAAGACCTACTGAGAGCTTTCTGAAGCAGCCGCTGGAAGCCAAGCAGGGCTTATAAAACATTGTTAGCTTCATCTGTCTGTGCCTGAAATCCCATCTGCTGCGGTTACAAATGTTTCAATATCACCACCTCTAGTGTTGCAAAGGGCAGAAATTTCCCTCCCAAGAACTGTTTGTTTATTTGGGCATCCCAGAGCTTTGCATGTATACGGTTTCCGATTTCTTTGTATACAGACAACTAACTCTGTTTCTAAGAGTTTTCACACAGCAGTAGATACCAGTTACAGCGTTTTGCAGAGGGAAAGGGAAGTGCTTACAAAACTGTAAGGAATTGGCAGAGAAGTAGGACCTCAATGGGAAGTTAACCCCATGTGGTGTTCCCACTCCATTCAATGCTGCTGTTTGTTTGCCCAGAACTCATCTAACAAGTGAGCTGAATTTATTCAGTGCCAGTATGTGATCTGCATTGTGAATTTCTACCTGAGGTATTTGACTATCTGAAAAAGGAGATTCCTGAAAATCTTCTAGTGTTTTTTAATGTCATTTGGTATTATATGATCACGCTGTATTATGTAGTATGATATTTTATTTCAGTTACATGATACTGTAACTGGAGGATCCTTTTTCCTCCATTATAGGATTATCAGGCAAGCAATTTTATTTCTGAATTTCCAGGAAGAAGATGATTCTTCCACTGTATTCATCACTAGTAATAAACTGATTAATTGATAATGTTCTCTACTATAAAAGGAATAAAATGGCATAAGGAAAAAGAACGTGTTGATCTGATATGTCTACATATCTACATATTTATACAAATGCACACAAACATTTGAAAACTGCCTTTCTAAAATAAAACATTAAGAATCTTCCACATTCCATAGGTAATAGATGGAGAAATCCTGTGAGGTTTTATTACAGTTTGTAAATGTAAGATGAAATCCAAAATAAATAAATGTTCTCTTTGATGTATTTGACTTCATACACTCGAAGGATATCTATTATAGCTGCTGGAGCACCATTTTTGTTTTAAATACTGAATATATTTTCAGTAAAGTCAAATGGAACAATTTAAAATATCAGAAAGCATATGTCTTAATATAGAACATGGAATTTGACTTTTCCTTTGTCATATCTCCTGCGTATTTTCTGCACCTCTAGACATGGGCAAAAAAGCATTGGGGAAATAGTATGTTTATGAAAACGAATTTCTAACATCTGTGTATACAAGCAGCTAAGGCTGATTGAATTAAAATATATCATCCAGATCTCTTCCCGAGACTCAGCTTGTACAGCTGGTAATAAGTTTTGTATTTAAACATAAGCAGCAAAGATCACATAAATGATAAATTAAATAGCTTTAATGCAGATAAGACTCATTTGCGTATTTTACAAATTTGAACAATGACTATTAGTGCAGCAATACTAATCCTACTACTGTTATTTCTCGTGAAGTTTTAAATATCCCTGACATAAAGTATTACCATATGATTGTTTTCTTGTGGTAGGTATCTCAAATTTCCTGCCCAAAGCAAAATAAATAAATAAATAAATAAATAAATAAATAAAATATTAGAATTAGTGATCTCCAGTGATGTTGTAGCTTCAAGTTAGATATGCCTCATTTCTGATCCACAAAATGTTAAAAATACGTATTTTTCAAAGTTTCAGGTAAAAAAAAAAAAAGGCAACATTTACCATATTAAATGAAATTCTTACAAGCAGAGTAGAATCTTGTCTTTTGGAAGCACAATCCGAGATTTAAGGATTGGGCAATATTTCCAAAAATAAAGGATGTTACATCTCTTCTAGTACCACAGTGCTAGTACAGCAGAGGAAGCAGAAGAGTAGTTTGCTTTTTGTCTACCAAGCTGGCCATTGCTTGAACACAGGCTGGACATGAATCTGCTTGTGCAAGATGGCATGTGACTTCCTTTTGTGTTCCTTGTTTTTGTAAGCTGTTTATCTCATGACTTTTCTTGCTTTTGTTCTTCCTATAAACCCTTCTCCCACTGGTGGTGGGGAGGTGTGTGAGCAGCTGTGTGGGGTACATAGCTGTTGGCCAGGGTCAGCCCATTGCAGCAGGACACATAAGTATATGCAGATTATTCACATGTTACTAATAAGTGCATATTCATATTCAATTTCACATTGCTATGTAGTTGTGTTCCTAGCATACTTCTGTATTGTGTGTGTGTTTTCAGTTTGTTTATTTTTGCATAAAAATGAGATAATTTACAGAAGACTATAAAAGCTTTTTAAATCAGAGAGTAGACTATAATCTTTACCTGTTTTGCTGAGTTGATATTAAAAATGAATCAGCCACATGGGTACTCGCTTGGAGACAGGAAATCAATTTTGGGGGACTGTTAAATTATTCACTGCCTGGCAGTTGCTAATGAAGACTTCTTTAAAATGTGAAAATGTCAAGGTTGTCACATGAGGTAATTACAGTGTCTGGTGGAGGAGTTGCAAGTTCAGTCTTTCACTAAGCGTACACAAGATTTTTTTCTTTTGAGAGAGGCTTTATTATTAGGAATAGAGAATAGTTACTGTAGATAACTTTAAATGGAACACATGTACTCAAGTAGCAGTTAACTTCTTCCAGTGATATGTTTTAAAAAGAATTCCAATTGCCTCTAGAGAGCATAATGCCCATTTCTTTATCATGAGGTCAACAACTGAGGAACTCATTGGCATTTGAGACTCTAAATAAGCCTCTCTGAAAGGACTCAAAGAAATGAATGACATGCTGAGAAGCAAGCAGGTGAGAAACTGAACTGTAGAACTCATGCCATCTTTAAGGCAAAGACAACTTCAGTTGAGTTTGTATTGTACTTGAACTTATTATGTCTGAGTTAACACTGAAGACCTTAGTGAATACGTAAAGAATTTTTTGCCCTGCACAGGGATGAATAGCATTCCTTAATTCTTCAGAATTAAGGATAGAGAAAGAAGTGAAAAAACTAAACCGCACACAAAGTCTCATACGAGACTTCTCTTTTTATGAGGCAGGCAAGACTGTGCTGCAACATTTTCATTATATAAACATCCAGTATCTTTGTTAAAAGCACAATGGAAATAGTGAGAAGCAATACAGTGAGGTGTTCTGCATTTTTTATCAGTTCCTAGCATTTCTCAATATGAACATTTTTAAAGTCGTATTTCCTACAGCATATATTCAGAGCAAAGGATGACAAAACTGGTCTCAGACACAAATCATAAGTTAGCTGTTACAATGGTAACAGGAGCCTAATCTATAAGTTTTTTACTTGGATGGAGGGAATGGTGAGTTATAAGACATTCGTTTGTTTGTACTGGTCATGGCAACGGAGTGGATAAAAACAAGTAACTCTTCCTTCTGACTGGGAAAGAAAGTTTTCTTCTTTACTTGCCCTTCAGAACTGTATTTCTGGGTGACTGAGAATGCATATCTTTAACTTGGGAATAAAGGACTTGCCTTTTCACTTTATATAACTTCCACATATTATAAAAGTAGTAATTTTCAAGTGCAAAACCTGCAGAATGTATCACCCCGCTTTTCCTGTATTATAACAAGATGCTTTTCAACTAAGTCACTCTATCCCTGGTGTCACAGAATAAACACGGCCTATTTTGCAGATTTAGGTCAGGCAGAAGTGGGTTATTTCTACAGCTATGGGAGGCAGCACAGAGTGACAGAGGTTCAGTTCTCTATCAGTACAAACTTAAAAGTATAAACATTTACAGCAGATATAATCAGCTTTTGTAAAGGGACTGATATGGCAGAGTAGCATCTGTGCAGGAGGAGACTTTGTCACAGCAGCTGTGCCATTGTGTTCTTCATGATTCGGAGTCTGCAGCCCTGTGGTCTCAACATATCCCTGTTCATCTTGCTTGTCCTGTGACACTGCTGTGCCCTTGTCAAACTTGTAGGTGCAGGGAGCCTGCTGCCACCTTTCCCTCTTTGAGATTTTATTCTCTCACTATTCTGAGAGACCTTTAGTGTGCTACAGACAAGACACAGGTATCACGGCTCTTCTAATGAAGACTATGCTGTCTAACCGTCTGTCCTTGCCTGTAGAATTAGGTGTCCAGCAGCATCAATTTTTGGATTTCACCTCTCTTTCCACCTCTGTTTACTACATGAATCCCATTTGCAAGGCTGGGATTAGTATGGTTACAGCAATAACTCTACATTTATTAATACTGCAAATACAGTACAACCAACAATGATAATAAGAATAAAATACTGTATTTTTTTTTTTTTTTTTTTAACCTAGAAACCCTAACTTTTTAAATGTTTACAGAGCAGTTCCACAGCCTCCAATTATTGGATTGCTCTGCTTTGGCTGCTTCTTTTTTAATGTGTATGCTCAAATCCTAGATGGTTTCAAAATTGCCTGGCATATAGGTAAAACAGTGCATGTTTCACCCCAATGAGCCAGCATAATGCCAAGTTTTAGCCTGTTTTGACCGCACAATATCAGACATTTCATTCCTTATGTGGTAAAAAGGATCCACAGTGTAATTGACAATTTGCTTTAAATAATAGCTGGTAAATTAATATTCTTTTAATGGTTTTTGCCACCTCATGCATGGGAAGCATCACAGCCCAACAATTTTCGTGTTCTGAGATAGCTCACATTTTCTGATAATATTCAGAAGGAAGAGGAAAAAAATGTTGAATAGCTGAGGTTATTATATAACATGATCCAAATGAGTCTTGTCAGAGCCATGGGTATGCAAATATACCTTGAATAGCATAGGCTTTTAAGGGAGTAGGTATGTAAGATGAGTTGAAATCAGTTCAGTAAGTGGTCAAATAATATTGTTCTAAAAATTCACAGTTTGGGTATGATTACCATGCCCCGTATAGTATGTTGCATTTGCTTTCAAGTAGCAGCTGCTCTGAGGAGCATGCAGTCCCAGGTGGAGGGCAGAGTTGGATCTTCACACTTACATGTATTGGATTGACTTGGATCAGTTCCGCTTACTGTCATCAGATAATCTTGGACAAGCAATTGCTGCCCTGTGGGGATTGCAAACTGATCTTTTATTTGTTATAACAAATTACATGCTATAGGACACATGGTGACAACTTCATTAGAGTGATGAGGAACACTGAAACACACCCAACATTTTGCAACATCTACGTCATTCTTGTAATGATAAGCCAACTCAAGGGTATCTTTATAGTTCACGCGGTGATGCAGTGACTTTCAACTTTCAGAGGACAGTGTCTCTGGGTTCCTTTCTGTTGATTTTCAGTTGTCTGTGTGTCACCTCAGTGTAGACTCAAGTTTGGGCTCAGAGGAGTGGCACAGTTCACAGCCAGGTTTTAGAAGGGCTTCTTTTACTGTCAAGATCACAAACATTTCATTAGAACTTTCTAATAATTCATCATAACATCATCAATCATCTGTTGCTTGGGTAGATGCAGTGGCTTAGGTGCCTTGACACCATGGTAGAGATCTGGCCATTTAAGGACAGCTACTTCACAAATTTGGGGCAGTTTATTTAAATCAAAACTCTTCCTTTCAACAGCTCCTGAATGTAAATGCTGTTACATTTCTGAGGCTTAACAGACCACCTGAACAGTGTGCTTATGAACTGAGTCCCTCAGTCACTGTGTAATGTGAAGGGTCAATGAATCAAAGAATCAAACCAATAGTTCCTTGGTGACAGTAGCAGTATCTGCGTGTCTACATTGACTCTACATGGCCTCTACCCATCAGAAGAACGTGTTTATGATTACAAGACTGTATCTGTACTTACAGCACTTGGTTATCTCTATAAAATCCACTTAGAAATTCACAACGGGCTGTGCATTGTTTTGGGTGTGCAGCAACTTTGGTTTGGACTGTTTGCAAACCACCTTTCTGTACTGCTGCATGAGCCACCACATGGGTCACACCAGCAAGAGAGGAGAAGGGAACGTCAGGTGCAATACAGCCACTGCCCTGAGACTGACACAAGGAACTGAGGTGTGACTGGTATCTCTGCCCAAGCCAGCCATCATTTTCATCTTCTGGGTCCAGTTCCTGTAAAATAAGGCAGTTTTGAAAGAAAAGCAGATGGAGATGAGGCCTCTCACCCACAAAAAGGATTATGACTGCATTATGTAGGGAAACATCTCTGAGAACATAGATTCATACAGTGGCTTAAGCTGGAAGGAACCTTAAAGATCACCCAGTTCCAAACCCCCACCATGAGTAAAGTTGCCACTCAGCAGATGAGGCTGTCCAGAGCCCCATCCAACCTGATCTCATACATCTCCAGGGATGTGGCATCCATAGCTTCTCTGGGCAACCTGTGCCAGTGCCTCACCACACCTGAGTGAAGAATCTCCTCCTGACATCTAACCTATATCTCCCTCTTTCAGTTTAAAGCCAGCACCCTCATCCCCTCCCCCCTTGTCAGACCACATAAAAAGTCAGTCCCCTCCTTCAAGTATTGCAAGGCTGCAATGAAGTCTTCCCAGAGCCTTCTCTTCTGCAAGCTAAACAAGCCCTAGTATCTTGTTCTGGCACAGTACAACATTCACGTGCATCTCCATTGCAGGAGGCACATCACAGTGCTGTAGGGTTAAGGGTAGAACAGCAAATGAGAAATGCTGGCTGAAAACTGGAGTAATATTTGTTCTCACTTAACCATAATCTGTAAATATGCTGGGTTTTCCATTTTAAAAGGAAGGATTTGACAAGGTGAGAAATAGCAAGAATTAAGAGATAAAGAAGGATCAGAATATCTGGGTGTTTTTTTTTTTCCAATAATAATAATAATAAAAAGCAGCAGCAGCATCTGTTTTATTTGTTTTTTGTTTGTTTGTTTTGTTTTGTTTTTCTTTTTTCTTTAAATGGTTTTTCCTAACAGCTGAAAAATGCATCCCATTAGACCTGGTCCACCAGCCTGCCTGAATACTTACACTCAGTAATTCATACTATTAAACACATCAACATTTATACTATTAAACACATTAAAGATGCCAAATTTGCAAAAATAAATTAGTTACAAAAGTTATAATACAAAATAGATTGTGTATGATGTTTTTCAGTTTGTAGCTTTAAAAAGTGTTGGGATCGCATTTCTGGAAAACCGAATCCATATGTAGAGAAGCATGACATGACCCTTAGTGCCAGGACAATGTTTTCAGCTTTACTTACAGAACTTCAATGTTATTCTTCAGCTTATTCTGAATGATGAAAATGCTGGAAAATTAAAGAATTTCAAATGCTTTGTCTAGCTCTAAACACCTGTTGTTTGTGCTGTCTCCAGGAAAGCTCAGGAACCTTCACTTGGCAGAATGCATCTTTAAAACTGCAAGAAAACACAAGATAGGGGTGATATTCACAAAGGCTTAAAATAAAGGCTAGTATTTGACTTTGCATTACTAAACAGGGGGGCATGGGTCCAGACCCTGGCCTCAAGGAGTGACCCTTGTGCTTAGGACTAACCCAGTCTCTGGGGGATCTCCTAGAAGCAGCTGTTTGGAGCAGTCCAAGTGCAGCTGGAGAACAAACCTGCAATTAAATAATGTGTGGATTATGGAGAGGTCAAGTGCCTGAGCTGCTTCAAGGCCCTGTTTATTTATTTCGCAGTATAAAATCGTCACCAAGGTCTTCTCTCATAGTTAACGTGCAAAGAAAAATGTCTTTACCAGTTGTTTCAGTTCAGCGTTAGCTGACTGCAGAGGGAGTGCACAAAAAAGAAATATTTTTGCTTTAATTAAGGAAGAGAGTGGCTTCTATAGGCTAAACTTTAATTTTGTACATCATGAGTGCCTAAGATATGAACCATCGACCATCATAACCAGTGGCTTTTAGTTGTATAGAAAACTTTTCATTACTAGTTGCACTCAGGATCTTGGATGCAAGCATTTATTTAAAAGTTTCATCTGTGTGATAGTACTGACTCTGTAATGCAAATTCTTAAATCGCAAGAAATCTAAAGCCTTTGACAAACATCTTTTGTGTTTGAATTTTTAGGGAAAAAAAACAAAAAAGTTATTTATTTTTTAACACAAGTACTTTGTTCACAAAGACTGGGTCAGTTCCGGCTTAAAACTAAATCAGTAGCTAACATAAGAGAAATTCAATATATAAATCAAATTCCAGATAGGTTAATGGACTCACAGGTGGGGAGCTCAAGAAAGTAACATTAAAGCAGGCTGACTGAAATCTCAAGACAGAAGAATGCAAAATATATGTAAAGAAAACATGATCTACTAAAATAACCAAGGATTTTAACTATATTCACTTTTTATTGACTTTAGATTTATTCTGATAAGGTCTTGTTTGAATTCAATTCATTTTCCTTCTGGCATACATATTATCCAGTGCCTATGTCATAAAAAAAAAAAATGACAAGTGGGAAAAAACTTGGAAGCCATGAGCTAATCACTCATGGCAATGTCCCAAATCACAATGGCAATGTCCCAAACTTCCAAAAACTCAAGTATCTCAGATCCACGTGGAAAAGCGTGGAAATTGTTACGACAATGCTAGAGAGTATATGCAAACTCCTTTCACAAACTAAGAATGTACTTATTGTGGGCAGTTAGTGCAGCAAGTCATAACCACAACCTTTTCTGAGATAAAAACAATGGCACCTTAAGTGTTTGGCACAGTGACAGGGCACTGCAACTTCAATACCAATTTATAACACTGGGTGGATCTCTGAATTCAGAAGAACAAGAAAAGAAACCATTTACTTGACACTGTCTTGGTGGGAGAGCTGTGAGTTGGGCTCCACCTCATCAGTTAGCCACTTGATTTCTCCACTTCTTACCTGCTTCGTGGCAAGGTGTGTTGCTGTGGCATCACTGCTGTTTGTGGCTGAAAGAATGTGGCTAAATTACCATAGCAAAGAAGCAGAATACACAGTTGAACATACCTTCTGATAAGACTTCAGTTGTAGAAAGTGTTGGGAATCTGCAATTCTTTCTCATAGAACTTCAGTTCTTGCTTTTTAAACACTTGTTCTACAGCAGTTCTGTTGAATCTGGACTGAGCAGAAGTCTTGAAAGATAAGGGATGTTTCTGCTTAACTTTTGAGTGCACATCGTTACAGCCACATCTGTCATGTAAAACTTCTGTTCTTTACTCTGTACTCTTTTTTTTTTATTTATTTTTTTTACAGAAAATCACAACATCCCTTAAATAATTATCCAATTTCTGTAGTGAAAACGTTTTCAGATCTAGGATTGTTTTCAGTTAGATATCCAGGTATTTGTCCTGAGTGGACTAAAATTCTGCACTGACAAAATTGAAACTACTGTATACTCGTATGTAAAGTATTTCCTGTTCATTATTAAAATGTAGATTATATTTCTTGCAATCCAGCCTGTTGCCTCAGGGAACTTATGATTTTATCCATCTGCAAAATAGAGCTAAATCTGTGTGGCACATCATGTTCATCTGGTTTAACAGAAAACTCTGAACAACTGTCCAGGTATAATGCAAGATATAATTATTCAGATGTATGTTAGACGTACATAACTTACAAGCTACTGTAAATCTAAGAAATAGTTTTGAATTTCTATTCTAATCTTTCTCATAGCATCATATCCTTACATATCCTTATAGCAGTGCTGCACTGTAGGGAAGAGAAGCAGTCCACCTTAAAAACATATTGAACACTGCTGTTGTACGTAGTACTTTTAATAGGCTACTACTAACATGTAGGGTTTCCTGTGACTTGAGACTAATTTAACAAAGTGTTTCAACAATATCTGAAGTGTGTGGAAGTCTTCACAGTGCTGTGCATTTGAATCTAGGTGCACTACTCAGGTGAATAATCCTTGAGAATTTTCCTGGCAGTTTCTTTGCTAGTTATGGAGGTTAAGCACTGAAGCACAATCACAGATTTTACTGAAGAATCCAGACACTCTGATTAGGGTTCATAGCATTTTTTCACAAATGCTAATAGAATATTTAATATAACATTTCATTATGTATGAAAAAACTAGTGGATATCTGGTTTTATGTGGTTCTTGATTGACTTTGTCACATGGCCTGGATGAACACACCAGTATTATTCCCTTCCCTTTAACTTTGCTGAAACATAATGTTAGTGAAGCTCTTTTAACCTCTTATGATTTAACTACTACAGAAATGCAAAATATGTAATTCAAAGAGAGGGAACAACCTCAGTACTTACTCTGTATCTTCATAACTGATGCTCCTGCTTCTCAGATGCAGTACAACATTCATAATGTTATATCAGTATTATCTTCACATCATAAATCATTCAGCTTAAAATTCAGATTGCTTGTGATACTAGATTTTCTGCTAATCCACGCTTTAATAACCTGAAACAGTGAAATAAAGCTGCTTTGAAGTTGATTTATGAGACATTTTGCATGCTTCACTAGGTTTTTTGTAATGGATTATACATTTAACAGAAGAATATTTAACTGCAGAAAAGAGTTTAGAAAGCTATTTTTCTGTATTTCCCTAGTCAGAACTGAATTTTGTACATAAACAGTAACATCTGTTGGGTTAATCAACTGAAAGAAATATAAATGGGACTACATTCAATTATGTTTGAAGTGATCACTACCTTTTTCTTTTTCAGTCAGAACTACCAGTAACACATAAGTATTCATCACGTAGTTCAACTGAAATGAACTTACTCATCACTGAAAACATGAATTGTACCACTTTCATCCATGCATCTAAAATCAGTCCAAATTGCAATGGCTTAGGCAGCTGAAGCAAATTAGCAGGGACAGCACCTTAGTCATCTGTGCTTCTCTGCTGTGTGCACATCAGCCCAGTAAAAGCTGGATTTTGGCCAATTGCTGGTCTGTCTAGTGAATATCTCAGAATAATTCATCCTCTGGTTTGAAGGAGATATGTAAACAAAGCAAGGGTAACCCAAAACCCAGGGCTTTTCTGGTTTACCACTCTGGAAGATAGTTGCCACTAATAAGAAATACCCACTTTCTGTATTAATTTCTTAGGAGCAATAAAAAAAAAATGGAAATTTAATAACGAACATGAAGCAAAAAAGTACAGAGAAAAAATCATTTAATCAGGGTTTGAGAGCCAATCTCTTCTTTAATCAAACAGCAATTTTCACTGCTTGCTTTTAAAATAGTGGTTAGTAAGAAAATACATCAGCCTGAAGGTGTTAACAGCATCTGCCTTGAGATTTTGGGTCAGATCTGGACGTTGTGTAACACGTCTTCACTGCCTTAAACAGCATTGAAGCCACAAATGGTTCATCCTAGAGTTTACGTAATTTCTCTGGTTTGTTACAAAAGCATCCTGATATCTTTTGCATAGAAAAGGCAGAATCACTTGTTTGCAGCAACTGAAATAATGTTGGAGAAGAGGAGCAGAAGATATGAAGTTGTTCCCTGACTGGAAAACTGGCAATTGAAGCATTATCACCTATTGACTTTGCTGGCAGTTACCCCTACTAAAGCTCGTGGTGCAGTTGAGTGCAGTTTTATCTCAGAAGAAAGAACCAGCATGATAAGCAACTGCTTGAAATATCTTAGTCACACAGGTGCTGTGTTTTGGTATTAGCCTCCAGTATGAAACATACATAAGTCCACCAAACAGTTGGACTTGACAGCCTGTTGGTGTGGTTTCTTTATCTGGAAGAAGTGTTTAGGAATTTTACCATTTTCTTTTTTTTTTTTTTTTTTTTTCCCATTTGGGGAAGTGCTGTTGTACTGAAATGAAAACATTCTGTTCAGCTAATTTTCTGTTGGTTCTTTACTCAGAACAGAATGTAGAAGAAAACTCATATAATACAGATGTCCCTTAGAAGATAAAGCAGTCTGGTGGTTCAAGTAGTCAATTAAATGCAATAAACCCAGTTTCAATTATTTCATGGTCAGATTAGCATTTTCTGCTAAATTTATATCCCTAAGAAAAAAAGAATAACATGACAAAAACAGAGCCCTCACAGACAGGAACAATGTTTAAGCAAAGAAGAGAAATGAAGAGTACCACCACAAAGAGAGAAAAAAGAGGCAGAAAAGCAAAGAAGAGCAGAACAGTTATTTCATGAAACTTTGGAAACATTATGCTGTAATACACCAAATCTACTGAATTTTAATACATTCATAAGAATGAATGCAAAAGAGTTAATTTTAATTAACATGCTATTTACAGTAACATGCTATTAACTTCCCTTTAACGTGTTGCCTTAGCTCATCTCACACTCCTGTCTCCTGTTAAATCACCATGATTACTTTTAATTCTAGATTCTGTGCTGGTTGTATTTTGCATCCTATAGTTCTCTGTACAAATACCCAGGCTACTTATAATGACACTATACTGTTTTTAGATTTAAATTTCTCAGATTTTTCTTACTTCAGGTATGTATTTGTGTATGAAAGTGTAGGAGGAAATTTCAAGCAGTAGTTACTTGCCATTTTTAAATTAACAAGCTTTTTAGCTACAAAAGCCAGAAGTGTATATTTAAATATAAGGAAAAAATATATATGAAATGTACGTATTGCATATAACACTGTTGTTATTGATTCAAGATGGCATTTTAAGTATGTAAATTCTAAACTCACAATACTGTCAATAACTAGATGAACATTAAATTAAAAAAAAAACAAAAAACCAACCTTAGAAGTGTGATGATTTTTTTTTAATTTCAAGACCTAGAAAAAACAAAGGGCAACATTTAGAAAGCAGGAGTTTAAATACAGTATTTGGACAAAGAGTTGTAGATTCATTACTTTCCAAAACGTGCCTGCTTCCTTCAGTTTCCAAATATAGAATTTCAAGTTTCTTTCTTTTTCACTTTCTAATCTGTCTGTAAAATTTAATGTTTATTAAGCAAGCGCAGGAAAATATGTTGGTTTCAAATAGCACACAAAGTCACATGTAACAGAAGTGAGCTGGAGTAGGAGTCAAAGTCAACATTATTCTTGTTATAGTTGCTACAGAATTCATAATTGGAGGCACTTTGTTCATTACAGGCATTTAGAGCTGTTTTGCTTTTCTTCCTCTTGTAAATTCCAACAGCAGCAGCATCTGTGGCTTTAAGCCAAGATGCGAGGTTTGTGGATAAGCCAGAACAGCATTCTGGCATGTCTCTCTAAAACTGGCTCCAGTGCTTCTTAACTCAGGTATGGGAGCAATGCAGGAAGCTGAAGGATCTTCCGCAAACATGCCTCCTCTTTGCATTAGTGTGTGGGTTGTGATTCATCATGGTCACATGGTTGTACAAGCTCGCCAGTATAAGCCTGGGCTGTATGATTCCTGTAAGAGCCTCTGTCCCTCCACCAGAAATTCCAGTATCCAGTCTCTGTTACAAGCTGGAAAACAAAAGCTAAGCAATTAACTAAACAGACCAATATTGCAGCTAAGCGCTATTTGAATAAACACATTCAAAAAACATATTGGAGTTGACTACCACTACACAGGCAGCTGTTTGTTCAGCCCCCCAGACTAAGTAGAGTTGGTAAAAAAAATCAGTTATGTGGGTTATGGCAGGAGAATCTAACCAGTATCAGTTATCCTTCAAAAGGCGTGCTGTTCTCATATAGCATCCCACAACTACTCAGCCCAGGATTTCAGAAACATTTCTCAAATGGAGGTTAAAAGACAATTTTGGAGATAAGAATCATAGAATGGCTTAGGTTGGAAGGGACATTAAAGATCATTCAGTTGCAACTCTGTGCCGTGGGCAGGGCTGCCACCCAACAGATCAGGCTGCACAGGGTCCCATCCAACTTGGCCTTGAATGCCTTCAAGGATTGGACATCCACAGCTTCCCTGGGCAAACTCTTCCAGTACATCATTACTCTTTTGAGTAAAGAATTTACTCCTAACATCCAACCTATATCTCCCCTCTTTTAATTTAAAGCCATTCCCCCTTGTCCTATCACTATCAGATCATGTCAGTCCCCCTCCCACTTAAAAGCTCCCTTCAAGTACTAGATGATGAAGGACCAAATACACCAGTTAGTTCTGCTACATTAGTGTTAACATTTTCAGAATCTCTAGCTCAGAGAAAATGTGTATGTTCCTAGTTCTTACTGCCAATAAATGCAGCAGAGAATAAGGTAAAGTCTAAGGCATCCAAGGCACCTGGTCCAGGTTTTTGGCTCTTGCTGTCTAGAAACAAAACACTGTCAACACCCAAGCGTTTAAAAGTCTCTAGAATTGACCTACTATCTTCAGCTAAAGCCAACCATCTGTGGGCCTAGTATGGTCACTAGTTTAGACAACATCTGCAGAAGCCCTGACTGATTACTGATTATTTCATCTGTAACAACACATAAATATGTCTAAGCTTCTGTTGCAAAAAGACTCCATAAGCTGTGTGCTCATCCTGTTAGAAACTCACAGCAGGAGCTGAATAAAAAGCAACAACACACACCTTGAGATAAATCAGGTGCCGATGAGCCAGAAATACTCTTAAATCTAGTAGGGAAATCATCAGTTCTTATCTGAAGATTAATCATTAGAATTTTCAACGCTAAAAACATCTGTTCTACCAATGCCTGTAACTTACCATGCTGCCTATTCTTTGTAAAAGATCTTTTAATTTACTTTTTCCTATTACTCAGCTCCTCACTGAACAATTACATATTCTATCATGCTGGTGTTTCAGTTCCATGAAAACAAGGGCCTGAGATTCCTTTACTGAGGTTGATACAATGGCCCATCTGTAACACTGTAAAATTTAGGGTTCGTTTTTTTTTTTTTTTCCATTTACTTTCAGCACCTTTCTATTTACAGAACAAATGCTGAATATGTTACCTCAAAAATCTCTTCTGAAATGCTTTAAATTTTATTTACTTCAAATAAATCTTATTTTTTACTTGCCACACAGCAAAGGGGCTGGGGGAGGGCTGTTGCTAAGTGGTGGATCTTCCCATCTTTCTGTGGCACGTTGACAAAGCTTTGGTATGCAAGAAGGAGATGCAGAGTTTTCTAATAACTCGTGTTGGCTTTATTTATGGCCACATGTTTTGCATGTAATTCTGGCATCCCATCAGAAAAGCCACCAGGCAGGTTTGGCTTGTTTTCATCCCAAGCTGGCGTTAGGAAACACTTCAAGTCTTTACATTAATGAACTCTGCAATGTTCCAACAAGTTTCAAACCTCATAAAAAAAACCCCTCATCTCTGTCGTTATCAACCTGTCATTTCCTTTTCACGTAACAAGCATTGCTTCCTTTGACACGCATATAACTGCTGTATGCGGGCACAGAGCAGAGCCCACAGGCACTGGGCAAGCACCAAACAGCCGCACAGCACGCTGGCAGGGTGAGTGCGCTCGTGCCCTCACGAAACAGTGGGAAAGCATACGGGAAACTCTCCACGCACAGAGCCATTGGAACAGCCAACAACTAACGACCAGCGAACAACAGCCCGGGCAGGGCAGGGCAGGGCCGCGGACCGACGCCTCGCCCTCCATCTCCACACGCGGAGGCGGGGATGGGCGGCGCATGCGCAGTGCGGCGCTGGCGGCGGGGCGGGATGGTGGCGCCGCTGGCGGGCCCGAGCCGCAGGTCGGTGGCGGAGCCGGGCGGCGGGGGGGAGGCGGGGCCGGACGCTTCCCGACGCCTTTCTCCTGCCTTCTGTCATCGCTGCCGTCGCTTCCGTCCCCGAGCTGACGCGGTTCGGGGCCGTTTCGGCGCTGGCAGCGCGCGGGGTAGCGTGCGGGGGGCGGTCGCGGGCAACTCGCCGGGAGCCCCCCGCGGAGCCCCCCGAGATGTCCGTAGGTGTCGGGAGAGCGGCACAGCGGGTGGGCAGAGCAGGGCGGCAGGGCAGCAGGGCTGGCCGCGGCACTGACGTGCCCTGTGCCTTGTGCCTCCCCTTAGGCGGCCGCCCTCTGGCTCCCCATGACAAGCAGCCCGGAGGATTTCTTCAGGGACTACCTCAAGATGTTGGCGAACATCGTCATCCTGAGCCTGCTCATCTCGGTCTCTCTGGCGTTCTGGATTGTGTCCATGACTGCGAGCACATACTACGGTGAGTGCAAAGGCCGCGGCCAGTCGGCTGGGCCCGTTTCCAGCCGCCCCGCCTTTCCCCCCCAGGGATGGGGTCTGGATCTGTAGGGCTTTCCCAGCCCCAAGTAGAGCTGGGAGCCCGAGGCCCAGAGAGAACTGTGCTGTCCTGTAGTGAGGGTAAGGATGACGGGTAGCGAGGGGCGCTCCGGCCTGCAAAAGTTTTGGAAATGCTCTTGGAGGCTTTGAATGGGGCATGTGGGGAAGTGCTGGGGGGAGAGGTGGGAATCGGTGCTGCAGTAGAGGGATGGGCGCGGGGAGTTGCTGAGGTGAGTAAGTAAGGTCAGCTCTGTTCTGTTCATGTAACCCAGGTGAGCTGTGGGTTGTGTGTGGTTGCAGGGACACAAGTGCTCTCTGTGGGCTGTCACTTTTGTTAAGACTTTTTTTAACTGCAAAATACAGATGCAGCAGTGCTGCCTGCAGCATCTGTTCAAACCTTGAAGAGTTGAACAGCTTTCCTGGGCAGGTGAACAGCTGTCTCTAATGCATCAGCTGCTTTGCCGCAGGAGGAGCTCCGGTGTCACTGCAGTGCCACTCGGTGCGTAGGGATTTGTAGGAGCATGTCCAGGTGCTTGCTGTTACCTTGGATTCAAAGGAGATAAAATATCTCACTAGTATATGCACACTCTTGTAGTGGCTATTTAATGTCTCTGCTCAGTGCTTTCCAGTGCTTCAGTTTTCAGAATGGCAGTGCTCTCAGATATACAGTGTGATTTTTGGGTGATTCTTTGTGGAGCTAGCAGTTGGATCCTTACTGCTCCGTTCTGTCTCAGAATGTTCCATGATTCTAACTGAACAGAATAAAGGAGCACTTGCAGTTCCATACAGGATTCTCTTATCAGGGTGACATGAAATCAGGTGTCACATGACTGCAGGTTGTGTCTACAGCTCAGCATGGAGTGTGTCAGGGAGAGTCAGGTGGGGTTAGGGAAAGGCTCAGTGCCAGAATGTGGCATGGAACGGGTTGTCCAGGGCAGTGGACATGGCCCTGAGATATTGGAGCTTAAGTAGTATTGGCCCTCAGAAGTTGGGTTTTGGTTTGGATGGTTCTGTGTAGAGCCAGGAGATGGACTCTGTGATCCCTGTGGGTTCCATACAACTTAGAATGTTCTGTGGCACCTCCACATCACCTTGTGGGGAGAGATAATTGACACAAAGCAGGTGTACAGAAACAGGCTTGACAAACAGGTTTGGTTAATTATTTTAGAACTAGCAGAGTTGGTGTCTTAGTTTCAGCTGGGATGTGATTGTTTTTTTCAGAGTGTCTGGTATGATGTTACGTTTTGGTTCTAGGAGAAAAACTGTTTATAACACACCTATGCATAAGGTTGCCACTAAGTAGTGATGTACAGAGCCAAGGCCCAAGATGCTGTGAGGGAGCAGAATTAGGACAGCTAATTTAAACTGGCTAAAGAGATATTCCATAGCATGTTATCAAGCAGAAGTTTTGAAGCGGTGGGAACTCATCTTCCACTGCACAGAGGGCTGGCAGGGCATCTGTCAGTGGTTAGTGAACAATTACTTGTACAACATTTGTTTATTTATTTATACACACATGTAGTCATAAATGTTATTTTCTTCCTTTCCTCTGTCCTAGTTTTATCTCAACCCACAAGTTCTACTTTTTTATTTCCCCTGATTCTCTCCTCCATTCCCCTGGGAAGGAGAGGGGTGAGCAGATAGCTGTGGTTTTTTGCCAACTGCTGGATTAAGCCACACCAGTCAAGTTTAAGCAGACTCATAACAGTGTCATTTTTGCACGTCTGCTCAATAGGTATAGCTCTCTCAGCTTTTCCACTAATTAAGTTATTCCTGCTCTTGCTATGTAACAGGAAGGTGTAGGGTGGAGAACTGTGATGTCACATGAATCAGGGGCTAGTGGAAGTCAGGAAACTGGAGACAAATCCTCTTTTTTTGCAGAGGATTATGGAACAGGGCCATGGGACATCTGTTTTCCATTTGACCGAAACCATGGAAAGACCAAGATGTGAAGGGGAATTAAGCGTATAGTAGGAGTGGACTTAATCAAATAGGAAAGAGAATTGTGATGTGGTGCTTTTCTTTGAGTTTTTGACCCAGCAGTTGACCCAGGGCTTACCTCCACACCATGTGGGGCATTGAGCTTTTTCAGTGCATGAAAAAGAGGTAGTTTTATCATGAAAACTCTTGTGCTGCATTGACAAGTGTTTCACTGGAGATGTTTGCCCTGCTCTCCTCTGAGGAGCCTGAATAGCTGCAGAGCTGTTGGTACCGCTGACGCAAGCACTCGTGTTACAAACCATTGTGTTCAGCTTTCCACTGTGGCAAGCAGCTGTGCCTGTGTGAAATTTCTATTCCATTAGCAAGGTCGCATGTAATGCTAGATTTGTGATGTCATATATTTGTATAGCAGATGTAATATATAGTTTCTCACGTATTGGTGTTGTTTTAGATCAAAAGCCACGTTAATGATTAGCTTTACTGTTTTTTAATGGGCTTTTTTTAAACAAAACTCATGAAATCTTGCAGAGATAATCAGTTTAAGATATATTGTTGAGAGCCTTACATGAAGTTTAAAAGGAATCAGAGATATGATGTTCTAGACAGCAGTTGCACCACTTTTACCTGGTAGAATTTCTTGTCATGTTTTCTGGAAGTAACATTCTTTCAGAGGAAGTTCAGGATATAGTCAGTAGCTTTCTTGTCTCTGGGTGCAAAGATAGAAGACTTCTTAACAGTCTTAGCAACCGTTTCTTCCTATACTTTCAAATTTTTATATTCTAAAATGTGTACTTGAAACGTCTTTTGCAGTGAAATGTATATCTTATAATTAAAAATGAGGTGATTCAACATGTATGTACATATATTAACTGCTGCTAAGGCAGTAGATACATTGAGTCAGTTCCATGATTAAAACAACCCTCTAACTGGACAGTAAAAACTCCTTTTTAACTTATTAATAGCTTTTATTTTAGTGAGTGTTCTGGAATTTGAGAAGGAAACAGTTATGTTTAAGATGCTGAAGATAAATCATCTACGTAGAAGATAAGCTGCTATGGACACTGGTACTTTATGGAACGGTGTGCAATATGGTGGCTCAGTGGGGTATTGTTTTTCAGTTCTACAAAGAAATTCACATTGTAATGAAAGACTCTTTGGGGGGATGAGGAGGAAGAACTTTAGTCAATATCCATTGCAAGAGATGAAACTGTTGGATACGGCTTGTTTTCCAGCAAGTATCTGCAGGGCCATGGACAAATGTGTACAGTCAGTTTTTATACTGCTGCCAGGTTGGGAAGAGGCTGCGTGTGTGTGCCTGGGCAGTAAAGAGGGACTCCTCAAAGTGAAGAATTCCATATCACCTGTGGTTCTCAGCTGAGCCAAGTTTTCTGTAGATCAGGGGAACAGAGACAGAACTGGGAGAACTGAACTAGGTAACTTCAAACTTGCTCAAGGATAAACATTTAAAGGGAAACAAGATTAACACCAGACTTAAATCTTCTGGCTACCTTTTCTTAAATACAAATCTATAACATCTTTCATAAAAATGGTGGTTTAATAGGGAAGCCCAAGGCTTGCTGAAATAAGCTTAATTTTTGGTTTCTTTACAGCTTTAGGTGTTCCTTAGTTTACTTTGAAAGTTCCTAGGACTGTTAGCCTTTTGGTTTATATAGTCATAAGAACACCTACTGTGTTATAATGGATAATGGATGTTTTTGCAGATGCTGAGGGACATAAATTCTCCCTGTTGAGGAGGTAGACTGCTGTGGTGAAGAACCCAACAGCAGCCTGAAGATGGTTAAAGAAGATCAGTTAGCAGTGGAAGCAATGAAACAAATATTTGTATTTTACACAGTAGTAATGTGTAATTGATGTACTGCATGACTGAAGAGGTCAGTAGCCTGGTTCAGTACAAGCAGCTAATGCAGGAGAGGGGAACTGCATTGTGCAGGTTACCTAATATATCCTCATCTGTTTGTTGTTTTGTTGTTTTTATTTTGAAATGAAACACATTGTTTAAAAAAAAAATTGATGATTTGCCAGCAAAAAAGAAAATCTCACTATTATAACTGTAAATTCATGGTGTCTCACCAGTGTAAGAACTGCTTATACTTGCGTTCATCCCATCTCACAGTGTCTGTAGCAGAACAAAAAAGAATGAGTATGAGCAGCATAGGTAATAGCATCCATTTAGGAAGACTTATCAGATAAAGATATTTCATCATAGAAATGGGACATCTATGTAGGTCATGAATGGCAAGAGAAATGTGAGTAGGAAATCACAGAATCTTTTCACGTTCATTAGGTCAAAAACTACAGCAGGTGTCCAATGAAACTTGAGGCAGCAGTATCTGTGTAGTTGGGCTACACAACAACTGGCTTAAAAATGGAATTGAGCAAAAATGATGGGGAATGATTTTAGAAATTATAACATAAAAGTTCCAATAAAAGGGGGAATATGAATCTATATACCTTTCTTACACTCTTCTGTTGAGCACATGCAGCTGGCTGCTGCCAGGTGGGGTCATTGTCATTGTCATGAACAATTCAGGTTTATTCAAGTTCTGAGCAAGTCAGTCATCAAAGGATCTGTGAGAGAAACTCTTGCTCTGATTTGTTTTCTTAAAGTTGCTTTGCATTCTTTTCACATGAAAGGAATGGTAAGGCTTTATTAACTGTGGTTTCACTTTGTGTTTTATTCATATTTGAAACTGAATTCTACGTACCTTACTGTGGGTGTGTGCTTCGTCTAAAATCTGAACATGTCTGTTTTATTCAATTAGGTTTCAGTTGTTCTTAACATTTTGCATATTAATGTTGGGGGTTTATAAATTCTTTTTTTAGAAAGAGAAATCTCATTGTGTTTATTTCTAACAAATTTGCCATTTCTTGATCATGAATTTCAGTTACTTTTATGTATTTTCTCTTTTCTGAATAAAAAAAAAAAGTAATAATTGCAGGCATTTTGATCTTCCATTCATAAAAATACTTGGTTTTGAGTGGTAAGGAAGTTTAATCTCTGTTAAGGTCATACTTTAAATATATTCTTGGAGAGAAATATTTGTCAGATACCAAGGCACTAAAAAACTTACCAGGATGATATGTAACCATTTCGTTTTATTCACCAGGTGATATCCGACCAATTTCTCCGTGGCGCTGGCTTTTTTCAGTCACAGTTCCAGTAGTGATTGTTACACAAGGTTTTAAGAAGAGGAGTCTTGATCACAGTGGTGCATTGGCAGGTACATTTCTTCTGAGGTTATTAAGCTAAACACTCAATAAACTGAATTAAGGTCCTTTTTATACTATGTAATATTCTTTTAAAGCCATTCTACCTGGTTCAGTATAGATGTAAGTATGCATACCTTGAATTCATACTGATTTTTATAATGCTTCAGTCAGGTTAACTTTTGCAGCTGTTTGCAGTTCATTCCATTAACATTGTTAGATTTACATAATTCACAAAATTGTTTTGAACTCAGGTACAATTTGCAGTTAAATCTGCATGGTCTCATTTGTTTCACATGTCTAGAGATAAAGAAGTTGAAGAGGCAGGGATAACGAAAGTGCCAGCAACCCACCTGCCTGGTAGGAAACCAGTGAAGATAACATGGTTTTCCTTTCTCTAATATCATAATTTTTGCCTCCCACAAATAAGAAGAAAATTGTCTATTATTCACTTTAAGCCAATGACTGTTTCAACAATGTTTTTCTTGGCCATAAGGAAAGAAAGCTCTTGGTGTTCATTGAAATCTGATGTAAGACCACTGGTTGAGGTGGCTGACCCTTCCTTGTCATGTGGCATTGTCTGAGCTGATGGTCAGTGGAAAGAAACAACCTACAATCTATTCCTCCTATGCCACCCATCTGCAAGTACTGTTCTGTTTGTGAGTTCAGGGGGAGGATTTTCTTGGTTTAAAATTATGACTTCTTCCAATTGTGAAGAGCTGTGGGCACTGAGAAGTAGACCTCCTCTGTAGAGAAGGAGGTAGAAAAAAAAAAAAAAAAGCAGCACATCCAGCAGCTCAAATACTAAAGAAAATAATGGAAAGAAAAAGATCAAACAATTCAGAAACGAAAGAAAATGAATGGCAGGAGTGGCCTTGTGTGGGGTGGGGGTTTGATCCTTAAACTGAAGATAAACTTCCAGATAGAGAAGCTATACACTTCTCATATGAAGAGTCAAATTCTTTAGGCAGGTAGCCTTTATCTTTTCTTTATTGCTCCATCTTCTGCACTACTTTACTGATTTGTGGCAAGAGAAGATCATATGCTCCAGCAGTAGCAATAAAATCAACTATTTTAGTAGTTAAATTTACAAGAAAATAATAAGGGTAACTGATATTGTTCAGTCAAGATGTCTCTAGAGTTTGCATTACAGATGTTAGATGCTTCATTAACTTTCTTATTGCGTGTTTATGTTAGGTTTATCATGATGTTCATTTATCATGAAGATTGTATTCAAGAGTATAAAAGTACTTAATTGCTTTGCAGTTAAGTTGTTACGTGAAGGAATCTTACATACTTTTTTTCTTTATAGGATTGGTGGTTGGATTTATCCTTACAGTTGCAAATTATAGTTTCTTCACTTCTTTGCTTGTATTTTTTGTTACTTCTTCAAAACTTACTAAATGGAAAAAAGATATAAAGAAACGTATAGATTCAGAATACAAAGAAGGTAAGCCCTAACACTTTGATTTCTTCAGATCCCTTGTGATGAGTAAATACTGTGTACCCTTTCTTTCAAAGCATCAGATGTGATATAACACCCAGAATAGGGAACACTTGTCATTCCCATCTCCTTATCCCCATGAATGCAAGCAATTTACTTTTAGAAAATGTGCATTTTTTAAATTTAATTTTGCATGTGTGCACTTTGCTTTTGTCTCCAGCTGCTGTATGTCAAGGTGTTTTATCTGAAAATACTAAAATTTCATTCTGTCACTTTAGGTGGGCAGAGGAATTGGTTGCAGGTATTCTGCAATGGCGGTATTCCTACTGAGCTGGCTATCTTGTATATGATAGAAAGTGGACCTGGTGAAATTCCAATAGACTTTTCAAAGTATTACACGGCATCGTGGATGTGCTTATCCCTTCTGGGAGCTTTGGCGTGCTCTGCTGGCGATACGTGGGCATCAGAGATTGGTAGTGTTATGAGTAAAAGCAAGCCAAGGTTGATAACGACCTGGAAACAAGTTCCAGTAGGTGAGATATTGTCTGTTCTATGTTTTCGTATCTTATGTTTTGTTTTGAATTATGCACCCAACAGGAAAAGTTCCAAAAGAGCCTCAAAAAAAAGCCCAGACGTTGGAAACAGATTTGAAAATGCTAGGGGGAATGTGTTCTCTGAAATGTAATTTACTCAGTTGTTTTTCTGCTTTATACCAACTGTGAGATGCATCGAAACAGAATCTGGTGAGCCAGCATCATTCATAGAGATTGCTGTCACTTCTTGACTCAGGTACTTGAGTCTTAGAAGTGTTTATACAGACAATAACACAAAGACTATACATTATTAACTGTGTTTTTCAGTCATTAAAATTTTAATCAATAGAAGAAATATTTTCATTACAGATGCTGTGGAAAGCTCTTAATCAAATTGTTCTTTTCCTTTAATGTCTTACAAAGACTGTGCAAAGAGAGCCTTCTGTCTGTGAAACCATTTTTACACAGTGGATGACGTTGCTGCCTTAAATCACTGTTTTTTGAGTCTTGCAGGCGTGCTGATACGTATTTTAAGCATTTTATGGGCATTTTTTTACTCATTGTAAGTGTTCTTCGGATTTTATTTCTTTTCAGGAGGCTATCAAATGTCTTTTCTATGGATTTTGCTCTTTTAAACATACTGGTGAAATACTTCTTCATGTACTTTTGAGAGAGGTGTTGTTTTAATAGCCTGCAGAACTCAAGCTCAATATTCTTTGAGCAATTCTTTTTTCCTCCAGTTTTACAGCAGTCAGATACCAGGTTGTATTGAGCAGTTTACTATCTGGTTTTGCTTCATTTATTGCTAGGAAAGGAAATATTTGTAGATAACAAGCCTTAGAGACGGGGAAAGTAATGTTAATACACCAGTATATACACCAGTTAAGCATCTGAGCAGCTTCATGACAATTATAAATAAAAGCTGTGATGGCAGAGTCTTTTTGATAGATACGACTGTAGGCATAGTAAATTTAAGTCTATAAGAAAAAAAAAAAAAAAAAGAATTGTAAATCAGGTTGACTTTTCTTTGATTTAGGTACTAATGGAGGAGTTACACTGGTGGGCCTGCTCTCAAGTTTTCTTGGTGGCATGGCAGTAGGTATAGCCTACTACATAACACAGCTCATTTTCGTGAGTGATCTGGATGTGTCGGCTCCACAGTGGCCAATTATTGTGTTTGGAGCAGCAGCTGGCTTACTGGGATCAATTCTTGATTCATATTTGGGTGCTACAATGCAGTACAGTGGTAAGAACTGTCTTTTTTTTTCTTTTCCTGTTATGACCTAAAGATGGACTTAAATGGACTTGATATCAGGAAGAGCTGAGATGTACAGAGATATACAGAGTGCACATCACAAAGAACAAAGAGTCAGAGCAATGGGCATGATAATGACAACAAGAGCTATGGCAGTTGGTCCTCACTTGTGTACTTCATCCTCTTCCTTTTGCACATTTTGGTTTGTTTGTCTCACATTATTGTCTTGGTGACTGAAAGAGACCAGAGATTTCCAACACACTTCCTTGGCAAGAATAATTTCTTCCTCCTGTTTTTTTTTGTATCTAATCATGGTAACTTTTTAGAAGAGAAAACATCACCTTAATTTTGTCCATTCACTCCGACTAATTGGGAACTGCAGAATCTCCATTTCTTACTCTGGTGACCTAGTGATAGTGCCAGCTTTGAGGACTAAAAAAGAAGAGCTCTGAGAAGATGTGCCCCTTATTTTAGATTCTGTTTTTTGACTGTCTAGTAGGGTACTGTTTCCTGGAAGTTAAGTGTTTCATGAGCTAGCCCTGCTTTTATTTAAAACAAACAAATTGGTATCCATTGAAGAAGGTTGTCAGCTGATTGATCCTAAATAATTCCACTATTTAGTTACTCACTGCTCCTTAGGGTCATTGTGAATGAACAATACAGGCAACCTTCAGACGAAGCCTTGTACTTAAAATCCATATCTGATGCTCTTCTGTCCAAAAGCTGATTTACAGAAAGAATTTTAGTTTTCTGATCTGATTGTCAGTACACTTGTTAGAAGTCACAGTTTGAATTTGCAGATGAACTGCATGAGAGATAAAAGCCCATTGAAGCTACTGTCACAGCGAGCACTGCACTCTTACTGATGCTGTGGATTTGGCTTTCCAGCAGTTTGTGTGCTCTATTCTTTGTAGATCCAGGGAAGTCCAAACCAAGATGGAGTGTTTAACCATGTGAGGAATTCTTACATATAATGCTTCATTATGAAAGATGAAGCACTGAAGCACACAGACCATGTTTCATTCTTCTAGTGAGGCAGATGGATTAAGATAATGTGGTAAACTTAGCTAATGCATGTCTGCATTTGTCATTTGTTTCTTACTCACTTCAGGTATTTTTACATGCTCAGCAACTTTAGTGAGCTACAGAAGGGACAGTGTGCAAGTTCCACAGATTCATTTCCAAATTTATAAGCACTTCTGGCCTGTGTTTAGTATGTATACATGTGAATGCTGTACATGCATGAATGGTATACATGCTGTGACATAGATCAGTAAGTGCTGCTCATGGTGTGCACGCTATTGGGTTACATCTCCCTCTTTGCTTAACCTGCTTTTCCAAACTGTGTTCCCTGTGTTCTCATGAGAAGTGCTCCAATCTCTCTTCAGCATCTTGAAAAAATGAATATGGCAGCCATAACAGCTGTGATACTGTGGGTTTTTTTGGAAAACATGATGCCAGTGCCACCTATACCCTCTCTTGAGGTTTTACCTACAGGTAGTTTTGGTTTATATAATAGTCTGTTTTGAAGAAGTCATCCTTTCCTACTGCACACATCAAGACTTTTCTTAACAGCTTTGCAGAATTGCATCCAGATTTTCCTGCATCTCCTAACTGAGATCATACCAATTATGTAAATAACCAAACTACAAAAAAAACTTGCTGAATGAACATTTTTATGCTTTGAATCTACAATCTACAATGTATGTACATCTGTGGTATATGTTTATTAAAGACCATTTTTTTTTCTGTCAAGGAAGCTTGAGACATTCTAAAACATAGCAAGTGTTGCCAAGTTGGTTTATGGGATGTGCATATGAGGAGGAATGTGGTTTGTGTTTTCTGTTTGATTGTGTTGTTGTTGTTACAATTTGTCTGAGGTGCTGAAAATGTTTCAGTGAAGTAGGAGTTCCAAATGATGTTTCTGTATTGTGGGCATTAACAGATACTCCAACATACAGAGAAAAATAATTTTAGTTCAGAATATGCTCATGTGTTTTGGAGCGTTCGTTCATGTCAGCCTTAGGTCTGTATGTATGCACACACCTGATCAATACTGCACTGACCTGTGAGTGGCCATTAAAATCCAGCATGCTAGAATGCCAGACTTTTACCGATGTATAAAATTGGACGAAGCATTGGATAATGGAATGTACAGAGTGACAGAAAATGAGACACAGCGCTAGAACACTGTGGCACAGCAGGAAATTACTTAAGTTATAAGGATTAAATGTATGGTGGTATAAAACTAAATAGAAATGTTAAATTCAGGCTCTATCCAGAGCTTGTTTTCTGTCAGCTCAGTTAAGTGTTACTTCCATAGTTTTCTTTAAAAAACAAATAAATCTTTCTAAAAGTCAGTTGTTTCTGTTCTGTGCAGAACAGCATCCTTTGCCTTCGTGGCTCTCCCAATAGCTTCTTCCTCTTCTGGTTTAAGCTCATGTTTCCTACCTTTGTTTGTCACATAGCTACAAAAAGAGGTAAGTAGACTCGGTAGAAGCATAGCTGCTCAAAACTTTGAACTTAAAGTATTGCATTTAGGTTCCATTCTTTGAATCTACCAGATGTAGTTAACCATAATTTTGGTTAGTGTTTTACTGTCTTTTCTTACAAAATCAGACACTGTAATGGTAAATGGAATGTAGAAAATTGCGTACACTTGGTTACTGTTTCTTCTCATCTGCTTTGCCTTTTTAAAATGAAGTCTTTATCTCTTCCCAGGTTTTGACAAGAATATCAGCATGGTTGTCAGCTACCAAACAAGAGACTGCCAGCACATATCTGGAAAACCTATATTAGACAACAATGCAGTAAATCTTTTTTCCTCTCTACTCGTTGCTCTGGTTTTTCCAGCTGTGGCATTGTGTTTCTGGCCAAGACGTTGAAATGTCTTAAGGCTTTTGGCATGTAATCAGTTTTGTTCAGTCTTTCTTAAAGTGCTCTTTGAGCACTCTTAAAGAAAGGGATCTGAACATTTGAGAGAGCCAATGGATTTCCATCTCAACTTATGTAAGCTTCGTATGGCAGCAGTCATCTATCAGGACAAGAAGTTTTGTTAATTTTGCTGTTGCTCTTCTTTGAGCGGGTGCAGATCATTGCCAAGTGAGGTAAAGAACTTTGTTTGTCCTCCTGAAACTTAAGGATTGGCTTCAGTGGTCTCAAAGGAGGAGCAAGAGGCTGGAAATGGAAATGTGATCTACGTTTACCAGGGCGTTGGAGCACTGAAGCTAAGGTCCAAATCCAAGCCAGGCCCAAATCCTCTGCAACTTTGTGTGGGCAGCGATAATACAGGTAGAAAGGATGAATTCTGGTTTAGTATTCCCTATAATCTGGAGTATGTAAAGTTTTATGGAAATGTTTTAGGGAGGAAAAAAAAAAAAAGGTAAGCCTTGTTGCCTATTCTATATCCTGATAAAACTTTCTCTTCCCTGAAAATGCAATTGTTAAAAATAATATCATTATGTGACGTTTGGAGCAAAAGATTATGGTTAGAATTAAAAAAAAAAAAAAGGTGTTTGCGGTAAGAATAATAAATTTGCCCATGTTTATTTGAAATTGTTATTTCCTAACTAATTAAATGTATGAAGATTATTATCACAATTGTAATGCAATAGTTATTAAATTATCTGGAATTATCTGGAATTCACATTCATTGTTTTATAAATATACAGATTGTCTCTGTAAGCACAGGATTGCTATTTAGAGTTCTGAGCAAACTGTATTCTTTGGTTCCTGCAGAGCAGTGTAAGTTTTTCTTACTTCTGTTTGAGGTGGCTATTCACAGATGAGAGTCTCAACCAAAGAAGGTACAGAGGTTATCCTCAAAGTGAGTAGAGAAAGTTTCATTGACAAATCATTTCGAAGTGGGAGTTTTAGTGCTTTGTCTGCTATGTCTGCTGGTTCCACCTCTCTTCGTTAATTATAGAAGATGTGGAAGTTGCTGAGCCAGCATAGGTTGTATTTAAACTTCATACATACCTTCATAGTAACTGGAGATGTTCAGAAGGTAGAGCCCTTTCTGTTAGCTTCTTATTTTTGTCGTTAGAGGTAGGTGAAGATTTGTATTAAATAGCTGATTTTTAGTTTATCTTTTCTTTTACAAATGTTGTGTATGTCTCCTGTCCAAATTCATTTGGATGGTACTCTGTCACTTTTTCTGAGAACGTTCAAAGATTTTAATACTTCCACATTGGATTTATTGATTTGAAATTTACTCTACAAGTCTGGAATTCAGCACTGGAACTAGTGAACTGTATTATCCAGCTTTTTGAAGGTATAAAAGCTTTCTGAAAAGAACAAGTTGTGTGGTTGCTGTATGTCAGCCTTTCTGCAGAAAAGCACACAATCATGAAAGGAATGTATGCAGTTGATCTGTAGCAAGGTATACATGAGTTGTTTCTGGTTTTGTTTCTTTTTTTAGTGGATTTATGCTGCTTCTACATAAAGACTGTGTTAGTCGGCTTTTAGGATTTTATTAATACTTCTGTAATGTTTAGAATTAAGAAATGCACATTTTGTAAAGTAATTTTTCTTTCAATTGAATGCCTTATTTTTTTAATATTATTTCAGTTCCTGAAATAAAGTCTGCTTTCAAATACTGAGGTAGACTTAGCCTGCTTTTCACTGCTGTTCAATACTAGTCTCATTTTAAAAATAGCATGTCACAATGAGAAGACATCTGTAGTTTTAAGTCCAGTATGAAATGCTTTGATCTGTTATCACATGAATTAGTGTGATCCCATCAGAGTCCTGCAGGAAGGACTTTCAAAGGCTACTGTTTGGAATTTTACCTTTGTCTTATCTTCATGATGGTGACACTGAGTTGTTTATGAAATTCCCACTCCTAAATCTTCAATATTTAAAAAGATCAGAGTACTCTTGAACTCCAAAAAAGACAGTGTTAATTCTAGGTATGCTGTATCAACTGAGGTGCAGCTTATGCTAATTTAGTTACTTCTTTTTAATAGAAGGTACAGGGAGGAAGAAACGGTGTGTGGCTGTACCTGTGAACAGCCTGTTAAGTGGTGTGTCACTAAGAGCCATTACTGAGATGAGAAAGGAGCAGACAGGGATGTGCTGCCTTTCCACGTGATACTTTGGGAAATAGAAACTGTAGAAGTAAAAGGGAAAATGAGGAGAGAAGCTACATTGAAAACAGAGAAATCTAAAACACCTGAATATGTTTTGCTTCAGAACTTTGGGTACCTTTGCTGTGTGAGATAACTCTGTCACTAAATTTTATTGAAGTGACAGAGATTTTCCACAGCCCCAAGAGGATGCATTGAATTTTTATTTTTTTTATTTGAGAAGTTTTGATTGTGAAACATTGTTCCTCATTTTGGGCTTGTTTTCAGATGTGTTAGAAGTTCAAGTAAAAGTATGAGAATGGCATAATTTATTTTTAATAAATAACATATTGCAATCACTCTGTGTATGAGAAGTCTTTAGCCAGGTCTTGCTTAGGCTTGGTGTCCTGATCTTGAGTGTTGAAGGGTATTGGTATCAGAGTATTCAGAATTACTTCGTATTGCTCTTAGATTGTCTTGGGTCTGTCCATGTTGCTGTTGACTGGTCTGTCATTACAGCTGTAAAGCACGGTTTGCTGGGACAATGAAATAAAGTGGTATAAAAAGTGAAGGGGATATATCACCTCTCTTGAGATTTAAAGACTAGCTAACATTCAGATAACTCACTTTTATGACAACAAGGGGCTGAAAAATCTTGAAAGACTGTTGACATTTTACAGACGTTGGTTTGTGGATTGGATAAATCCAGCAATAGACTGATATTCACATTTAAATCTGTTAGGATTTCGTTTTTCACATTTGTAAGTGGGATATGTTTTCCTGTGTTTTCCCCCCAGTCCCTTCTCTGATTTTGATTATCCAGATCCTGAAATTGCACTAGATCATTATTTTTTTCAAGCAGGAGTTATTTTCAGGAAGTTGGAGTGTTGACTTAGAGCTTTGTAGACATATTGCACTCTGCTTCTGGCAGTTCATCCAGTGCTGCCAGGTGTTTGTTGCTTCACACCACGACCAACCTGAGTGTCTGCATCTTCCAACGTTACTGCAACTGGGTAATCTCTTTCAATTTAAATACTTGCTTTGTTTAGGGGAGATGTGGGATGGAGGGTCTGTGGAGCTCTCAGAATTAAGGGCCTGCGTGTGAATAAGAGCAGGGATGTGAATTCACTCAGACTGTGTGGAGCACTACAGCACACTCAAGTCTGGAGCTGCCAGTTAATATTGCAAGTCCCAAATGAAGATGAAATCTGGAAATGTAGAAACAAAAGTGTCAGGCAAATGGTGCCTTGTACTTACATCCTCTGCTCTATCAAACTCTGAGCCAAAATGAAACAAATTCCAACAGGACAGAATTTCTTCAGTAACATTTCTTTGGCTTCCATCCCCAAGGAGGCAGCTGATCAATATGAATATCTTGCTACTTGGTGAAGAACTAAATGCCAGATTTCCTTGATGTACTATAAGAGCAGTAACTGTAAGCAGTAACAGCTTTCCTCTATGTGCAGGTTCTGACCCAGAAGCATCCTGTGTGACTGACTGGTAGTGTGAACGGTAGTGTGGTAAACATTATAACTTGAGGAATATCATTAGAATGAATCTACATTCCTTCAGTAGACCATCTAGAGGGTTGTTAGCTTTATACTGCTTTGGGTATTGTTGCCCTAGAGTGGGGGTATGTGTTGGTTCCTGACAGAATGGCTGTAGAAGAAAAGACTGTGTGTAGCCGAAACATGGAAGAACCAGCTTGACCTGTATTGAGGGCAGGGGTTTCATAAAGTGGATCACCACCAGCCTGGAAACAGCTGCTTTTCCTGGGGGACAACTTGGTTGGACTTAGTGCTTCACAGACAGCTCTGTAACTTATTTGCCCCTATTTTCCTTTTTTTTTTTTTTTTTTTTTTTTTTTTTTTTTTTTGTGGCAAGCAAGAATAAGGCAGAACTAAACTTCTCTATGTGATCACCTTCAGAATTGAATTTGGAGGTTCAAAACCATACAGGAAATCTATACAGCAGTATGAATGTACTCTGCCTTTAGAGAGAATGCCAGTAGAGAGCAAGAGAGTAAAAATACAAGTCTTTTTGTGCTCGTTGGTTATTATCCTCTCGTAGCTCAATAACTGCTTCTATCAAGGCTTTCCAACTGCAGTCCTAGCTGCAAATCTATGAAAGTAGAAGGACCTCATTAAAAACTTCTGTCAGCATGAGGGAGTAACATGCATGGATGTCACGCAAAAATGAAGGCCTCTGCAGGCACTTCTTGTTACAGAGGTGAGCTCTGCAGCGTAACCTTGTGCTGTGAACTGGAGAATGTTATTCTTAATGATCTCTTTCACTTAATCCAGTTATAGGCTTTATACAAGCCTTTGGGTTTCCAATGTGTTTATCTGGGTAAATACACTAATTAACTTCAACCCCCACAACCTAGCACAGCTGTGTATTTATAAAAGCGTTATAGTTCCCATGTAACAGCTGATGAACTCCTGCTACAATGATTGCTGAAAAGTTCATCCCAGTACTTGGAAAGCAGTGACTCTGGCTTCCTGGTTTCCACGTGAGCACTGTTCATGAGCCTGAGACTTCATTATTCCATTTGTTGATATCCTAAGTCCTGGAATCACTGATGAAAGCTGCAGCAATCCAGTGCTTATCCTAAAGCAGTAGTCATTTCAGCCTGCTGTTGGCTGTCTTTAGCAGCCAAACACCTCCAGTTATGCTACTCCCAGTACAAAAAATATATGCATGATCTTTTTGTATCACGTCTCCTCCCAGTGTGTTTTAAAATGGAGAAGTGAAAACAGGTAATCCATAGTGCACTGGGATAAGAAGCATGGGTGTAATTCGCTATTAGAATTCTGGAAGTCATTTGGATGGTGCTCTAAGAAAAAGAGAATGGAGTGTCAGCATGGAGTGTTGCATTCACAGTGTCCACAGCTTTAAGCTAAGTTAGCTATGCCAGGAAGAAAAAAAAAAAAAAACTAAAAATGCCTAATCCATTATCACCAGACAAAGTGAAAGCATATTTTAATGTGGGTAAACTTCACAGTTTAAACTGACACTGGCTTGTCTATAGATTTGTGAGTAATATACCTCAAAGATTCAGTTAGGTTTCATTTGGAGCAGATTGATGTTACTTCATTTGGTTCAGAACTAACCTGAAGTAAGAATGTAACATAAACTTGGAACTTAGATGCCTTTCCTTTTTCTTGTGATGAATCTCTTACTACATGTTTTTATTCTTTTCCACAACAAAGAACTGCTGGTCGTCTTCACATATTGCTCTGTGTGAGGAGATGTCTTTGTTCTTCAGATGTGACGAAGTCAGGAGAAGAGAGCAAAGATAAACCCACATTAGTTTTTGAAAATGCAGGCTGACTTTCTTTGCCCAGTTCTTTCTCGCAAATGTTGTTGCGTTAGACTGCAAGCTCCATCTTGATTGCAATGAGCTCCAGTTCATTGACTGCACCCTTTGATCATCCTTAGGCAGAATGCTCTTGTGCCTGCAGCTCTAAGTGCAATCTCAGGAGCTCAGACATGTACAGCACTTGACTTGGCTGAGCCTGCAATAGCATTTTTAGAAAGAGAATGTGAATACCAGGAGGCACCCATTGGTGTTGATATTCAGCATCTAACAATGCCCTGAAGAGTGAAGGTGTGTCATTTATACATAACATAGCAGTAAAATCCTACCAGATTCAATAGGCACATACAGGACTGCTTTTTGACACCTCTAATTTTCAAAACCTAAAATTGGTGAGAGCAGTTCTGACAGCAGCCATTTGCTGAAGCTGAAATCCTACTGCTTTAAGAGTTCTGTTCTAATTTGTTTATAGGAAGGATAATGTATATATAATATACATGTAATATACAATAATGTTTATAGGAAGGATAATGTGCACTGTAGGTGCACATTTTTCTTCACACCATCACTAGGATAGCATTTTGTTTAAAGGTTACTCCTATTTTTGACTGAGAAGGAAACACTGGAACTGTTTGCTAAAAAGTGTCTTCTAGAGATTAAATGGGTTTGGTTGTTGAAAGTTACTAAAAATCTGTGGTATTTAAATTCACTTCAAAGATGGCGCTACGCACCATCAGCTCTTCATTATTTGAGCAAGAAGCAGTGAGAAAGATGACTGGTGGTGGCAATGAACACGTATCAGCCTATGGCCACATCTTCATGGAATGCACCAGTCCCAAAACAACACCTGCGTGCATGTTTTGGGGCTGCTATCACCAGCTTTTTGCAATGTAATCATTAAAGTATTTTTTAAACTGTTAGATGTCTGCAACACGAGAAACATTTCCTATTTATTTTTTGCTATTATCTGAAGAATTCGGTTTCCTTTGTTCCTGTCTCCTTTATCTCATTTTCTGTTTTCAGCTTTAGCTCCTCTTGCAGTCTGCAGCTGCTCTTCAATCCTCATGAATGTGGCTTAGAGGAACAACAGAACAGTGATTCCCTTCATAGCAGGAGATGCTGAGTTGGTGTTTGCACTTCTGTGCGTGGCATGGGACTGTTCTGTTTTGAACCTTTATTTTTTCCTTGGTAGTGCAAATAGCTGTATAAAAACACAGCCTGATGTCCTCTGGGGTTTATGATGTGTCCTTTTGCATCCATGTTGATAAAAAAGTGAAACGTAAAACAATAAAAGCTGATTACAGGGGTTGAAAGTTGCAGAAAGCTGAGCTCCCCTTTTAGCACTGAGGTTTTTTGAGGAGTGTCAGGATACCTTCTCCTGGGGAAGAGTTTAATGCACAGAGACATCTTTACAGTTGAATGCAATGCTAAAGTGTGAGCTCAGCATCTTCCCCCCACAAGCCAGGTGTAGTCCTGCCTGAGCCCATACCAGAGCACAGCAGAGGACCTTCTGCACCAGAATTGTATAGCTTCTCTATCCAAGAGTATCTAGATAGAATAGATTGTCTACCATTGTTTTAAATAGAAAGGCTGAAAAATAGATTAGCTTTGTATTTGTATTAGCCCTACTGAAGAGCTAGCAATCAGGGTGTACTTCTGTTGTTTGAAGAGCCTTGCTAACCAGCAGTCCACAGAGCCCTTTGCTTCAGCTGCTGGAGGTGTGCCCTGCTCCTGTGGTCAGGTCCATAAAGTGCATGTGCAGCTGCAGGGCTGAGTTAATCAGTTTTAACTTTGCTGAATTGTGCTTAGGCCTCAAATGTAATTTGAAATGATTGTATTATTACTGCCATCACTTCAGACCCTCCCTGGCCTAGAACTTATTTTCCAGGTCAAAAAAAGCACCTTGATAGTCTTCAAGGGAGGGTTTAAGGAAATGAATGTGGATAGGCTATTTAAAACTGCTGCACCCAGAAACTGGGTGTAGTAAAACTCCTTTAAATTGCATAGTACTAAGGTGATCCACGTTGAAGACAGCTGAAG